ACCACCACCCAGTCTTATTCTGGATCTTGAGGTGGGAAGATGCACGCCTTTAATCTGGGTCACACCTTCTGCCGGAAGCCCATAGAAGGACGTGGTAGGAGGAAACACACGCTCTTTGCCTGTTCGCCCTTGCCTCGTCCACACATCTGTTCCTTCACTGCATGAGAGCCCCATTCTTCCGGAATCCAGCACATACTGAAGACCCGCAGACACATTCAGCCTTGTGGACTGAGCAACTGCTGCATTCTCAGACTTTGTGTTCACAGCCCGTCATTGTGGAGTTACCTGGACGATAGCCTGTAAGTCATTTCAGCACACAGAGAGATTCATTCCGTAAGTTCTGCTTCTCTAGAGATTCCTGAGTAATAAACCCCTTTAAAATCATTGTACATTTATGTGTGTGCGCATGTGTGTGCACACGTGTGTAGGTTCGAGGACAACTTGTCTGTTCTCTCCTTCTGACACATGGGTTCTGGGGATCTAACTCAGGTAATCAGGTTTGTCAAGAAGAACCTTTACCTGATGAACCATCTAACTGGCCCTGGTTGGTTGGTTGGTTCATTTGTTTGGTTTGGAGATAGTGGTGCCAATATACAGCCCAGTTGGGCTGGAACTCCCCATGTAGACCAGTCTGACCTCAAACTCATAGAGATAGGCCTGCCTCAGCCTCCCACGTAAAGGCTTTGAAGTCTTTCTAAAATAACCCTTTTCAATATTAGGTGTCGCGTCATCCCAACTCTCTGCCCATCCTCCTTGAGAAGACTCTGAAGGCCTCTGTTTCAGTTTGGGTGAGTCCCCCTCTACCTCCAGTTTGTGTCCCAGGTACCCCTGGTAACTGGTTTTGGTTGGGGATTTAGCTTATGACCCGAGGAGGTGGCAGACATCACCGTTTATCCTGAAAGCATCAGCATATAGCTGGTGGTCTCTGCTTCCTCCACTTAGGGAAGCCTGCCTAAGAATGAAACCCTGCTGGTTCTAAGGCAGAAATGAAGGCTGGCAGGTGGAGTGTGGCTCAGGGACCTGTCTGTCTGGGCCCCTACACAAGCCCTGCCCTGAACTGACTATGCCCTCCTGTTTCCCAATCCCGTGACTCAGTTCTTTCCCAGCACAACCAGTACCATCTGGTTTCTACTGAGGACCAGCAAATCAAAAATAAGGAGGTAGGAGACTGAGGCAGAAGCCAGCAGGGCTCCACAGGGAGAACTTGTAGCGGGGGAGGGGGGGTTGGTATCATCAGCCCCCCAAATCATGACATGGAGACTTACTGTTAATTATGAAAGCTTGGTCTTAGTTTAGGCTTGTTTCTGTTTTTTTTTTTATTTTTTTTTAAAGAATGTGTAGCCCAGGCTGGCCTCGAACTCATGATCCTCCTGCCTCTGCCTCCTTCAGCAAATCCTACCGGCGTGCGCCACCACAACCGGCTAGGCTTGTTTCTGGATTTTTTTTTTTCTGGTTTTTGAGACAGGGTTTCTCTGTAACTTTGGAGCCTGTCCTGGAACTAGCTCTTGTAGACCAGGCTGGCCTTGAACTCCTCTGCTCCCGAGTGCTGGGATTAAAGGCGTGAGCCACCACCACCTTATATGGCTGCCTTTTTTTTTTTAACTTAACCCACGACTCTTAATCTGTAACCCACCCTGCAGTCAGTTATTCCAGGGTCTCATATCTGTAAGATATGAGCTGAGAGAGAAGGAGGCCATGCTAAGTTTGTCAGAGCCTCCGTTTATTAGAGATGGGGTACAGCTTATATAGGGTAAGGAGTTGGGGGGTGGGCACAGGGGCCTGGGCTCTTGCCGCATAGTTCACGTTGGTCACGTGGTTCTCGTTGGTCATGTAGGCCAGGAAGTCACAACTAGGAGATGACACACCTAGTTCTCTAGATAGTTTGGAATGTGGGGCGAGTTCTGTTAACAGATAGCTCTCCATTAACAGTCAATTTGGGTGTGGGGTAGGCTCTGTCAATAGAATGATTCCTAACACAATTAGGGGTGTGGGGTTCTCTGCAGACTCCCCAGGGTGGTGGTTCCTGCTATGTACTGCCCCAAGGCTCGCTTACCTCATCCACAGTCTACAAAACTGTCCATCCTGCTTTCCTCCTTCCTCTGTGTCTGGTGGGCTGGCCCCAGCTGGCTAGCTCCCCTTTCCACTCTGCCTAGCTATTGACTGTTCAGCTTTTTATTAGATCAATCAGGTGCCTCAGGCAAGCCAGGTAAAGCAACAACACATCTTTACATAGTTAAACAAATATCACACTCCACAGCAGAATCTACCTTGTTATCTGTTTGTTTGTTTTTTTTTTTTTTTTTCGAGACAGGGTTTCTCTGTGGTTTTGGAGCCTGTCCTGGAACTAGCTCTTGTAGACCAGGCTGGTCTCGAACTCACAGAGATCCGCCTGCCTCTGCCTCCCGAGTGCTGGGATTAAAGGCGTGCACCACTACCACCCGGCTTTGTTTTTTATTTTTTCAAGACAGGGTTTCTCTGTAGTTTTGGAGCCTATCCTGGAGCTAGACACAGAGATCCGCCTGCGTCTGCCTCCTGAGAGCTGGGATTAAAGGCGTGCGTCACCACTGCTTGACTCAGAATCTACCTTTAAAACCCCCTCGGGCCTCACAAATTTTGTGGTGTGATTTACAGAATAACCCTTTGTTGACTTGATATCTGCAGCATTTTACAATCTCATCTTCACAGAACTGGATTCTAACAAGATTATGAATGTCAGGGCATTTGTTCTGGGGGTTTTGCTTGTTTATTTTTAGGCAGGCTCTTGTATAGCACCTGACTCAAACTCATTTTGTAGCTGGGGATGACCTTGAACTCCTAATCTCCTAATATTTCTGCTTCTCCCTCCCAAATCCTGGGCTATAGCCAACTTTTTCCAGAGAGAGAAAGAGAGAGAGAGAGAGAGAGAGAGAGAGAAGATGGCCTAGAACTCATTACATAGCTCAGGTTAACCCTGACCTTAGGATCTTTCTGCCTCAGCTTCCCAAACCTTGGGATTACAAGTGTACAGAATCACACCTAGCATATATATTTTTATTCATTGAACTAAAGTTTGATTTAAGACAGACAGGGGTTGTGCACACCTTTAATCCTAGCACTGGGGAGGCAGAGGTAGGAGAATCTCTGTGAGTTCAAGGCCAGCCTGGTCTACAGAGTGAGTTCCAAGACAGGCTCCAAAGCTACAGAGAAACCCTGTCTCAAAAAACAAAACAACACGATGGTGGCGCACGCCTTTAATCCCAGCACTCGGGAGGCAGAGGCAGGCGGATCTCTGTGAGTTCGAGACCAGCCTGGTCTACAGAGCTAGTTCCAGGACAGGCTCCAAAGCCACAGAGAAACCCTGCCTCGAAAAACCAAAAAAAATAAATAAATAAATAAATAAAAACAAAACAACAAAAGAAATCAAGCACTTTATTCAATATCATACAGCTAATAAATAACAAAAGCAAGAACTCTAGTGTGTTTCTCTTGATTCTGAGACCAGGTATGAGTGCTTATGCCCATGATCCAAAGGCTGAGGCAGGAGGAGCTAGCATTTAAGCCCAACCTGTGCTGAGCAGTGAGACTATGCCTCAAAAATCAGCACAATACAATACTGAGCTGCACTGCACCACTGAGCACTGCACCACACGGCACCGCACTGCACCACTGAGCACTGCACCACCGAGCACTGCACCACACGGCACCGCACTGCACCACTGAGCACTGCACCACCGAGCACTGCACCACTGAGCACTGCACCACACGGCACCGCACTGCACCACCGAGCACTGCACCACTGAGCACAGCACTACACGGCACCGCACTGCACCACACGGCACCACACTGCACCACCGAGCACTGCACCACACGGCACCGCACTGCACCACTGAGCACAGCACCACACGGCACCGCACTGCACCACCGAGCACAGCACTGCACTGCTGCACTGACAAGCACGTGTTTTGTTTCCTTTCTTTCTGTGTGGTTTTTTTGTTGTTGATGTTGATCCTGGAGACAGGGTTTCTCTGTGTAGCTTTGGAGCCTGTCCCGGAACTAGCTCCATAGACCAGATTGGACCTGAACTCACAGAGATCCACTTGCCTCTGCTTCCCGAGTGCTGGGATTAAAGGTGTGTGTCACCACCGCCCGGCTCAGCCTATGTTTTCTCCTTGTCTAGGTTTGTCATATGCTTATTTTCCCTCCTAGTAGAAGAGTGGGTCACTTCAGGTAGGATCTGGTTTGTGCTCTGCTTAGGGCATCTTCCCGGAGATGGACAGAAAACAGGTGGCACCATCAGACTGTTTTGGAATGTTTTCCCTCAGCAGAGAGCATGTAATTCACTGATCAGAATGATGCGTGACGTACTACACATGTATTACAGTGTCGTTTCCCACCTTTCTGGTGGATTCTTACAAGAAGATGTTTTGAATCAACTCAGATTATATACATCCATGATGAACATAAGGTTCTGCAGATCAGAATCTTGCTCAGTACTTGAGGAATTTTCCCATGTTATGTATGGGTGTAGTAAGTTATTAATTTAGTTAGTCAGATACAGGGTCTTGTTACATAGCTCAGGATGTTCTCAAAGTTGTCATCCTCCTGCTTCACTTTCCAAAGTATTGTGATTACATTGTATTTTCTACCTTACTCTTATTTTTGTTTGTTTTGTCTTTTGGTTGTGGCAGAAAACCTGCCTAGAGCTTTTTGAATGCTAGGCAAGCTGTCTGTCGGTGAGCTCTCTCCCTAGGACTCATACAGTTGACATCACAATAAAGTAGTGCATTAATGCGCTCTTGGGCCCTGAGATGGCTCAGCAGGGAAGGTTCCTGCTACACGAGCCTGCGGACCTATGTTCAATCTCTGGGTCCCATGGTGGAAGGAGAGAACTGACTCCTAGGGGGTCTGCTGTGGCCTTCGCACTGTAACCTACACACATGTGCTGTGGCAATATGCACCTGCATTCACGTATGTATAATAAATACATTTTTTTTTTCAAGACAGGGTTTCTGGGAGCCAAGATGGCCGCCTCCACCGCCCAGTGCCGAGTGACAAAAGCGGAGAGCAAGGCGGCGGTGGGGCCGCGCGCGCGGGGGGTGCCCGGGAGCGCGCGACCACGGGGGCGCCCTCGCCAAGTTCCCCGAGTCCAGGCCCGGTGGTTCTCCCGGCGCCGCTGCCTTCGCGGGACGGGCCCAAGGCCGAGCCGGAGCAGGGTCCCAGGCCCGTGCCCGCGCCGGGCCTTTGTTCTGAGGAAAAACACAATGGTGGCCATGGAATTGGGGTCTCCCTTACTCCCAAAGAAGAGCTTGCCTGTCTCTGGGACCCTGGAGCCCATGGCCAGTCAGCTGAGCAGCAAAGTGGCTGCAGAGGTTCCTCATGGCAGCAAACAGGAGCTCCCAGACCTCAAGGCCCAGAGCCTGACCACCTGTGAGGTCTGCGGTGCCTGCTTTGAGACACGAAAGGGCCTGTCCAGCCACGCGCGCTCCCACCTCCGCCAGATGGGTGTGACTGAGTGGTCTGTGAACGGCTCACCCATTGACACACTGCGGGAGATCCTGAAGAGACGGACCCAATCCAGGCCAGGTGGACACCTCCACCCACCAGGGCCTAGCCCAAAAGCCCTAGCCAAGGTGGTGGGTAGCGGAGGTCTTGGCAGCTCACCAGAAGCCCGCAGTCCCTCGGATCGTCACATTTCACCCCTGGCCAAGAAGTTGCCACCGCCACCGGGCAGTCCCCTGGGCCACTCACCAACTGCTTCTCCTCCTCCCACGGCCCGGAAGATGTTCTCAGGCCTTGCTACTCCTTCCTTGCCCAAGAAACTGAAACCTGAACAAATGAGAGTGGAGATCAAGCGGGAAATGTTGCCAGGGGCCCTGCATGGGGAGCCACACCTTTCTGAGGGTCCCTGGGGCACGCCTCGAGAAGATATGGCACCTTTGAGCCTATCATCCAGGGCAGAGCCAGTACGTGACATCCGTTGCGAGTTCTGTGGTGAGTTCTTCAAGAACCGCAAGGGCCTTTCCAGCCACGCTCGCTCCCACCTGCGCCAGATGGGTGTGACTGAGTGGTCTGTCAATGGCTCACCTATTGACACACTTCTAGAGATCCTGAAGAAGAAGTCCAAGCTGCGCCTCATCAAGAAAGAGCCTCCAGCTGGAGACCTGGCTCCTGCTCTGGCTGAGGATGGCTCCCCGACAGCAGCTCCTGGGGCTATGCATTCCCCACTGCCTCTGTCACCCCTGGCTAGCCGGCCTGGAAAACCAGGAGCTGGGCCGGCCCAGGTTCCCCTGGAGCTTAGCCTGTCGCCCATCACGGGGGCTAAGCCTTCTACCACCAGCTACCTGGGCCCAGCAGCAACCAAACGGCCCCTACAGGAGGATCGCGTCCTCCCTGCAGATGTCAAGGCCAAGACCTACGTCCATACTGAACTGCCCTTCAAGGCAAAGACTCTCCATGAGAAGACCTCCCACTCCTCCACTGAGGCCTGCTGTGAGCTCTGTGGCCTTTACTTTGAAAACCGCAAAGCCCTAGCCAGCCATGCGGCGGCACACCTTCGGCAGTTCGGTGTGACAGAGTGGCGGGTCAACGTCTCTCCCATCGAGACGCTGAGTGAGTGGATCAAACACCGGCCCCAGAAAGTGGGTGCCTACCAAAGCTACATCCAGAGTGGCCGCCCCTTTACCAAGAAGTTCTGCAGTGCTGGCCATGACAGTGACAAACGGCCACCCCTGGGGTTGACACCTGGGGGCCTGTCCTGGGTTGGCCGAAGTGCTGGGGAGGAACTGAGGCCTGAGGCTGGCAGGGCAGCTGACAGTGGTGAACGGCCTCTGGCAACCAGACCACCCAGGACCTTGAAGTCAGAGGAGCACCAACGGCAAAATATCAACAAGTTTGAACGCAGACAAGCCGGCCCACCAGATGCCTCTGCAGCTCGGGGTGGTGAGGATACCAATGACCTGCAACAGAAGCTGGAAGAGGTGCGGCAGCCCCGACTCCGGGTCCGGCCAGTCCCCTTCCTGGTGCCTCGCCCCCCACAGACATCACTGGTCAAGTTTGTGGGCAACATCTATACCCTCAAGTGCAGGTTCTGTGAAGTGGAATTCCAGGGCCCACTCTCCATCCAGGAAGAGTGGGTGCGGCATTTACAGCGGCACATCCTGGAGATGAACTTCTCCAAAGCAGACCCTCTGCCCGAGGAGCCCCAGGCCCCACAGCACAGACAGCAGCTGTAGAGGCGCCCTAACATACATGCATTCCAGATCTCCTCTTGTGCCACCTGTCACCTCCTGATTCTCTGTGTCCTTTCCCATGTCCCTCTTTCTTTTCCGTTTCCAAAGGAGCAAGCCAAAACCTCAAACCGGCGCCCTTTGGGGGCCGGGCACACTACATCCTGGACGCCTGGAGCCAGCTAGCCACCTTCCCTCAGCCTGAGGACTCTGGGGCCACAAGGGTACCCTCTTTGAGCCTACCTGGTTGGTCCAGCAGGGGCAGTAGCCAGGCCTTTGGTGGTGGCCAATCTGGTTACAGGGGAGAACAGCACTTCCCTGTGTCTAGCAACCAGGCAGGGCTATGTCTGCCATCCGTCTCCATTTGCAAAGACCCCACAGACCCCTGTTCCCTTTTGCCCCCATCAATATCTATTCTCACTCATGCACAGGCAAACATACACACACACTCACCTCGTGAGACCTGGGATCTGCCCTAGCCCCTACAGTTCCCAAGTCAAACAACCACATCATGCCACGGTGCTTGCTCAGGGGAATCCACACTCCCTCTGCTAACTTACTAGGGCTTGGGAGCCCCCACTGAGCCCACAATGCCAAGGAAATTCTTGCTGGTTGTCCCCCCCCCCCAAAGGGGGCCTTCCTAGCTTGGAAGAGTTCAGAGCTGATAGCTGCCTCCTGCCATGTCAGAGCCTCAGGGGCTCCAGGGCTGGGACAGGAGAGTCCCACCCCTCACTCCACCCTCCCCCTTTTCACTGTTGCTTTCTATGTATAGCTCCCTAGATCTTTCACTTTTTTTTTTAATAAAAATGCGTTTTGTGTAGAGAATAAGGAATGTGGATCTTTTTATTTTCCAATCCTGGGCCAGCTAGATACCGGGAGCTAATTGACCTTTTAACCTTTTTCAGTGGCCATCTTTTGGTTATCAATGTACCTAGAAATATGTAAATTAGATTAAATTTCTCTTCTGGAAACACCCCCCCCCCAAAAAAAAGACAGGGTTTCTTTGTGTAACCATCCTGACTGTCCAGGCTGGCCTCGAACTCACTGAAGTCCACCTGCCTATGCTTCCCAAGTGCTGGGATTAAAGGTGTGTGCCAACACTGCCTGGCATAAATATGTAATTTTTGAAGAGTAAAATAATTAATAAAATAAAACAATGCATTGTGTACATAGATTTGAAGATAACTGTTACAGTTAACTTATATGCAGTGTCAAATCCAAGCTAAAATTTGATGTCATAAGTATTGAGCACAATTGATATGCTAAACATATTTAAGGTACAATGAATAACATGTAATGTATAATAACAATCTTTTTTTTGTTTTGTTTTTTTGTTTTCTGATACAGGGTTTTCCTGTGTAGACCTGGCTGTCCTGGAACTCACTATCTAGACTAGGCTGGCTTCAAACTCATAGAGATCCACCTACTTCTCCCACCTAAGCGCTGTATAATAATAAACTTCATGATACTTACAATATAGTAAACTAGAGACAGCAGAAGGGGCCCAGCCGGAGGAAAGAGCCAGATGTATTTAGAAAACAGGAAGTACGAGCCGGGCGGTGGTGGCGCACGCCTTTAATCCCAGCACTCGGGAGGCAGAGGCAGGTGGATCTCTGTGAGTTCGAGGCCAGCCTGGTCTACAGAGCTAGTTCCAGGACAGGAACCAAAAGCTGTGGAGAAACCCTGTCTCAGAAAAAAAAAAAAAAGAAAAGAAAAGAAAAGAAAACAGGAAGTACAGAATTCCATGCAAACGAAGATTTGTATGGTGGTCATGTGTAGTACCACACAACAACAAGGCTGTTGCTGTGTGGTAGGGAATCTGTAGACGGTGTGGTGGTGCTTGCCTGTAATTTCAGCACTTAGGAGTCTGAGGCAGGAGGATTGCAAATTTGAAGACAGCTTGACTAAACTGTGAGACGCTCTCCAAAAAAAAGTATAACCCCCCCCCCACCCCTATGCACACATTTTCAGGAAATAGGCATTTACCATGAGCTCACGTCTCCTCCTTCCCTTAGTGTTGTAAGCTGTTTGGGAGACTCTAACCCTTTAATTGATAAATCGATCAGAGACATTGCAGTCATTACGAGCGGTGTCCTGGTCAGTTTGTGTCAACCTGACACAGGGAGAGTTATCTGGGAAGACAAATCTCAGTTGACAAAACTCCTCCATCAGATTGCCTGTAGGCAAGTCTGTAAGGCAGCTTCTTGATTAATAATTGATGGGAAAGGGCCACTGAACAAGCCATGAGGAGCAAATCGTAAATAGCAATTCTCCATGGCCTCTGCATCAGTCCCAGTCTCAAGTTCCTGCCCTGACGTCCTCAGTGACAGGGCGACCTGAGAGTTGTAAGCTGAAACACCCTCTCCTCCTTACGGTAGATTGGGGGACTCTGCAGGAGGAAGGCTGCCATGAGACCCTGAGAGCAAGTGAGGAGTTAGACCAGTGAACCCTGGAGTGTTCCAGCACAGGAACGGTATTGGAGTGCCAGGGAACGTAAGAACATTCCCGGGAGGTATCCACTCGCTACAGATGGAGAAATGAAACAAACTAGCCATGGTGGCATAAACACGCCACCCTAGTGCTTGCGAGGTGAAGGCTGGAGGATCAGGGCTCAAGGCCAGCCTCAGCTACGTCTAGAGTTCAAGATCAGTCTTGATTACATGAGACCGTGTCTCAAAGAGACATAAGAAACAGATTGGCTTGCCCAGGTTTTTTTCTTCTTCCTCTCCCCACAGCTGGAGGTGAAATTCAGCTTAGTCTTATCTTAAGACGTTCTTTCCACAGCTTCATCCTTTGCTTGGAATGTCTCTAGTGCTGGTGTAGAAACTGGAAATTAGAGCAGGACTATGGGTCAAGCCTAAGGAATGGGAGGAGCAGCAGAGAAGTAGGCAAAGTAGGGGGACAGACAGGGGCACAGAATGACGGCAGCCGGGGAGAGGGGACAGACGGGGGGCGGGGGGGCACAGGTAGAAGAGGAAGTGATTCCAGATTCACAACAGATGGAACACACGGAGAGTGACAGGGCAGAGTGAGCGCAGGCCGTTTCCAGCTGACCTTGACCTTGAGCTACCAGAAGAAGTAATAGGGGAGCCAACTCCAACACTGCACCAGCAGGAAGTTTATCAGGAAGAAAACTTGGCCCTGACAATGAGGGAACCGAAGGAAGCAAGACTGGGTGGGAACAGCTGAACTATATTGGACCATGCTCACTGGATGTAGGCTGTGAGGAATGGGGTGGGACCAGACACCCAAAGCTCACCTGCTAGCAGCACTTCAACCACCAACAGCTGGAATAATAAGTCCTTCATAGCTGTGTGTTGGCACACAGCTTTAATCCTAGTACTCAGAAGGCAGAGCTCAGTGGGTGGATCTCTGGGTTGGAGGCCAGCCTGTTCTATAAAGTAAGTTTCTACAAAGTGAGTTCCAGACCCTGTCTGAAAAGACAAAAAAAGTCCTTATAGCAGGGATTTGGCTTATGCCTGTGATCCAGCACACAGTAGGCTGAGGTAGGAGGCTCACAAGGCCAATTTGGACCACATGGCAAGTTCGGGACCAGCCTGAGCTGCCGGAGAACTTATTTCAACTCTTTCCTAAAAAGTTTTTAGTTCTCAAAGGGGGTCTGAGCGCCAGTATATGATGTGTTGGCATTATTCACAGGAATAGCTTCTAAGGGGAGCAGCCTCTAAGGAACACTATTTTTGGCACAGATAAAATGTAACTTTGGGAATAAGTACAGAAGGAGTATACTATCACTCCTTATTGCCTAACAGTTATAACATGTTTTACATTTTACGTGTTATAAAACATTTAACATCTATCTATGAAACAGTCATAGGACACCCCCTGTGTACATGATCTTTGCTAGCTCCAGCTATACAAAGATAAGATACCACCTCCTAGGGTCTCATGTTCCCCTGGCTAGCCAAGAACTCCTGGAGATCTGCCTGCCTCTGCCTCTGGAGGGTTGAGGTCGAAAGTGTGGGACATCTCATGCTCAGTCTTCTCTATTGAAAGCTCAGTTTATTGGGAGAAAAAGTATAAAGCAATAAACAATGATGGCCTGTGCTTCTGTTATCACTGCTTGTACATGCAGCACCCAGCCTGTGCTGGGTGTTTAGCGAATGGTGAGAAAATGAGTTAATTTGTTAAGCTTGAAAGTCCTACATGGTTTGGTCCTGGGAACCTGACAGGGGCTACAAGGGAGTGAAGGACAGGCACACAGACACAGCTGAGTTGAGAGGGCCGTGGAAGCTCTGACAGAGAGCTCAGAGCCTTAGCTTGATTGTTACAGGAGCTTAGGAGGAAAAGTTAGGGTTGTTCACTAGGTGGGAGGTCTCTGCAGGAGAGCAGTCTCAGGCTGTAAACTTCCAGGAGGGAGCTCAGTCCGTGCTTTCTTGTCCCTTCTGTCAACGTTCCCACAGGGACCAGAGGGAGCTTTGCCAATTCACATGTGTTTGTGGCATCAGGGTCCGGGTCAATAGAACACATTCTCTCTCCTGCAGGGCTCCTCTGCTCCCCACACTTGGGTAGTCGATAGAATTTAAGAGTAATCAATGTTGCCTAGAGGAGTCAGAAGACAATCACAGAGTTGTTTTCGTTTTGTTCTTTTGAGACAGGGTTTCTCTGTGTAGCCCTGGCTATCCTTGGAGCTAGCTCAGTAGACCAAATTGATCTGCCTGTTTCTGCCTCCCGAGTGCTGGGATTAAGAGTTTGTGCTACCATTGCCCGATTTAGAGCTGCTTTTCAATATCTGTATTACTGTTGTATTGGGGGTAAGGGCATGGTGCGCATGTGTGGAGATCAGGGACAGCACTGGGGAGTTCGTTCTCCCCTTCCACCTTTGGATTGGTTCCTAGGCTCAGTTCACCAGGCTTTCCTTGCTAACATTTTTCCTCTTTGGCCCCATGGGTGATTTTGAGGAATCCTAAAGAGTAACTTTCCAGGTAACGGTGGTCAATGGCAGTGGTAGCTAAGTTTAGGAAGTCGCAGAGAAAATGAAAGCATGAAGGAATTCTTGGAGTGTGTGAATGGGAAGCTTAGAAAGGACCCCTAAATAAAAGGTACGTACAATAGGAACACACACTGCTCTTCCAGAGGACCCAGGCTCAGTTTCCAGCACCCACACTGAGCACGTTACAACTTTCTATATTCCAGTTCTGGGGTCATGAGCCTTCTGCAGGCATTGTACTCACAGTACACACACACACACACACACCAAATAAAATCATGAGTTTTTAAGATTTATTTATTTATTATGTATACAGTGTTCCGTATATGTTTATTATACTTGCAGGCCAGAAGAGGGCACGAAATCTCATTATAGATGGTTGAGTCACAATGTGGTTGCTGGGAATTGAACTCAGGACCCATAGAAGAGCAGTCTCTTAACCTCTGAACCATCTCTCCAGTCCCCAATCTTTACAAGTTTTTTTTTAAACATTATACACATGATTAAAAATAAAACTTTTGTTTTTGGGAAAATTCATATTAAGAGCTGGGCATGGCCCCGGTGGTGGTAGCGGTTTAAGTGACAGTGCATGCCTGACTGTTCTGGGATTCATTCTGTAGACCAGGCTGACCTCAAACTCACAGAGATCCACCTGCCTCTGCCTCCTGAGTGCTGGGATTAAAGGCGTGTGCCACCACTACCCGGCCAGTGTATGCCTTTAATCCTAGCACTCAGTAGGAAGATGCAGGCGGATCTCTGAGTTTGAGGCCAGCCTGGTCTATAGAGTGAGTTCCAGGATAGCCAGGGTTACATAGAGGAACCCTGTTTCTCGGGGAGGTGGGGAGCGGAGGGTGGACCCCATATTCACATGCTACCCATAGATACTGCCATCTGTACAGAAACATGTTTCCATTGTCGTCATATGAACTATTGGAAGGGAATAGTACTCTATGTACAAAATGGAGCCGACACTGAGTGCAGGCTGCCACATCTAATTGAACTGTGTTTGAAATCTATCTTTGCTGGCCAATAACGTGTCTTTAGGCAAGCCAGTTAACCCTCATAAATTACTGATTCATCTCCCAACTCAAGATAATAGCTCCAGCCGGGCGGTGGTGGCACACGCCTTTAATCCCAGCACTTGGGAGGCAGAGGCAGGTGGATCTCTGTGAGTTCGAGACCAGCCTGGTCTACAAGAGCTAGTTCCAGGACAGGCTCCAAAACCACAGAGAAACCTTGTCTCAAAAAAAAAAAAAAAGATAACAGCTCCTGTTTCATGATTTTGTGAGGCTTGATGGCTGCTTGTGTCATATATAGAAAAGAGTTCAGTCCCTGAGCGCGGTGGAAGAAAACCTGAAGGTGGTCCTGTAAAACCCATGATTTGTTTTGTTTTTCCAAGATAAGGTTTCTCTGTGTAGCCCTGGCTGTCTTGGAACTTGTTCTGTAGACCAGGTTGGCTCGAATTCAGAGCTTCTGCTGGGATTAATGGCATATATCACCAAGACTGGCATGATGTGTGTGTGTGTGTGTGTGTGTATGTGTGTGTGTGTGTGTGTGTGTGAACGATGGGACCCAGAGCCCCACACACGGTGGGGCACACCCACTCTGCCATTCAGTTATGTCCTCAGCCCCACTTCTTTAGAAATCATAAACTCAAAGCTGGGCGGTGGTGGCGCACGCCTTTAATCCAGCACTCGCACTCAGGAGGCAGAGGCAGGCGGATCTCTGTGAGTTCAAGACCAGCCTGGTCTACAGAGCTAGTTCCAGGACAGGCTCCAAAAGCCACAGAGAAACCCTGTCTCAAAAAAACCAAATAAATAAATAAATAAAAAAAATCATAAACTCAAATCTTTTTTCTGCCAGATTCTATTCCATGGGCGGTTTATGGATACTTCTATTTTCTAAGGAGGACAAGCTGTTCCCAGCTTAATCTGCAGAGGCAGCTTGGCCTTGGGGAATGGTCTGATAGTACTAGAATTGGAAGCAGATCACATCTTACCGTAGGACTTCTGGTGGCTGAGTGGCCTAGCCCCAGGACTTTATGTGGGATGTGTCTAGCACTGCCATGGGTAAATGTGCACGCGGCCCATCTTGGTGGTTTGGATCAACTGCTCTTCTTCCTGTTTACTCTAAGGTAAGTCTCAGTGTCTCCAGGAGGCAAATTCCCCCATTCTTCAAGCTCCCCTCCTCCCTCACTGAGAAATTCTTGCCCTAAATTTCTGTTTTGCTGCTTCAGGACTTTTTCTTTTCCACCAGGTACTCAGTTCTGATCTGGCTCACTTTGTTGTCTGCCGGCAGATCACAGATTGAGAGCTAATGCCCTCGGCTCCTTCAGATCCAGAGAAACAGACCAGGCGGCATTTCCACTGATTCTTTGAGACGCCTCCTAATTGCATCAGTATCGCACGTACTATTATGTGGAAAATACATGTGGCCTGTCAGGCTTTGGGTTAATTGGTTTTACCTCCTGTCTCAGAGGGGCAGAGTCCTAGTCTGCGTGCCGTCCCCGAACCAGCTTGACTCCCAGGGAGTGGCAGCCACAAGAAAGCAGTTCCCTCCACCCATTTCGTTCACAGCACCCATAGCCTCCAAGTCCCGCCCTTCGGAGAGGCACAGAAAGGAAATCTCAGAAGAAAACTTTAACTCAATTAATTTTTATTAATAACTAGGAGTGGCAGAAATACACTGCCGGGCAAAGATGAAATTTGATTATGCTTTAGAGGGTGCGGTTTGAAGTTTTCCCTCACTCTTGACCCACCGCTAGTCTCATCTCCCACCAAGGGAGGCGCTCTAGTCCGCATATATAGGCGCTGCGCTGCTCCGCAAAAATCAAAGCAGTTCTGCACCATGGGGAAGAGGCAGCCGAGGGCCGCAGCAGCTGCTCCCAACTGTGAGCTAAGTAAGTGGGCAGTTAGCGGCAGGGACGCTCTGGCCGAGCACACCTCGAAGCTGACACCAACAGCCCCGATCCTTTTCTGTTCTAGATGCGACGGAGGGTCCCAGAGAAGGTTGTGGGCCAGAGGGTGCTTGTCCAGAACTAACGTGTGCCTCTTCTCTTCTTTCAGGAGACCACTCTGTATGGAAAGCTGCAGCCCTTACCAGGGTGCGGAAGTTTGGCTTTTTCTTTTTGTTATCATATCTTTTAATTTCCGTTTCTGTGGGTCTATGCTTTCTTTCTGTCTCCGTTCTAAAATTTCTCCCGGCAGTTTCTACATGAAGAACACAGCGCTGTCCTCTCTACCGCTATAGCCAGAAGGGAAAATAGGAAACAAAACAAAACAAAAACCAAACAAGAACCAGGCGGTTTGGGTGGCTCTTCGAGGCAAGCTGGAGGACTTGTCAGGCCATTTAGTCTCCCCTCTTCGTCTCTACAGAAAGAGGCTCTGAGGTGGGAGGCCGGGGATGGAGAGGGACTGCTTTGGGGATGTCAGGATACTGTGTGGGGGAGAAGACAAAGCTTGGTGGGATGGAGGACAACTCACTGAGAGACTTGGGAGGAGGAGGAGGAGGAGGAGGGGTGGTGCGGCCGAACTGGCTCCGCTGGTCGAAGTTTCGCGGTTCCTCCCAGACGTGGGGTGTTCTAGGCGCGTCAGTGGACACTGCGCTGTGGCCCAAGAAGTCAGACGAAGAGAGGCTGCCATGGTGCCTTATTGTCGGTTGTAGATGTATCTCGTAGTTATCATCTCTTCGGAGGAAGCAGGCTTGTGGTTGCTTAAAAAGAGGTGGTGGAAACTATGACAAAAATGTTTGTAGCGTTCCCGGGCTGGGAGTTGCCAACCTGCCCAACGCGCTGTGTTTGAACTCCAGGGCTGGAGCGGGCCACGCCTCCGACTCGGACCCGCCCCAACTAGGCCCCGCCCCCAGATCCAGCATGGGCGGGCGGAGCCTTCGCGCCCGGTCCGCCCGCCACGCTGTGCCTCGGCTGCAGGAGTCCAGCCAATCAGGAAGTGGGACTCCCGTCCTGCCGGCCAATCGCGGGAGGGCAGGAGGTTGACCAGCTAGTTGCTGACTTCTGGGATATGGAGTCGCCGGCGCGGCGTGTCAGGTGTTGGCCGAGCCGGTAAGCCGAGGTGCTGGCGGGGTCAGGGGTTACGGCGTTCCGCTTTGTGCAGGTGGGCGGGCGAGGGCACGGCCGGCGGACAGTTCGTATTCCGAGGGGACGCGGGAGCCCCGGGGTCGGCACAGGCGCTGCTGGTCACGGGCCTCGGCCTTTCCCCGCGACCTGGGACAACCAGCCCACCGCCCCTCCCCGGGCTGGCCCGACGGGAGGCGTCCCGGGTCAGGGGTGCGCAGACCCGGCGCGACGCGGAGGGGGAGATCCGTGACGCAGTTTCCTCCCGGAGCCCGGGGATCTGTCTGCCCGCGGCCTCCCGCAGCTCAGCACCAAGTCAGCCCAGCGGCCGCCGGTGCTGCGCTGTTGGCACGAAGGCCTCAGGCCTCGGGGTTGAGGGCTGCCAGGGTCCCTGCGCTTTCCAGGCCTCATTCGGGACACGTCGCGCGCGATGGATGCTCCCCTTCTCAGCGGTTTCCTAGGCCCGGTACTTTGAAAGCTCGCTTGTTTGATATTGCTCCTTTAGATTCTTTGTCCATGTCGGTTCTCTGGTCAGACTATTTGGAAGGGCATCCTCAGGACACAGGTTGAGTTTCCGCTGTGTAATACAGAGAACCTCCGTTGTTCTTTGCTTTTCAACGATGGGATTCAAGGCATCGAAAGCAAACATACGGAGGGAGAGCTGGCCAGGGCCGGTGGGCTTCTAGGAGCTTCCGTGTGGCCCGTGGGGAAACCACAGGAAGCTGCCCACCTTGTCCACCGTGGCATCTCCATCACTTCTTGGCTTAGGCTTTCTTCTGTCCCACCACTTTCCGTGGGGTGACGGCAGGACCTTACAGGTTGTCGGCGTTACATTAGTTAATACATGTAAAGCAAAGTGCTTAGGCCAGTCCCCTGCCACCAGGTGTTTTTATTACTGCCTGCTCGTGCCTGCAGTTACCTGGCTTTGACCTTCTCAGGAGTCTCTGCTTGGAATCCCTTGGGCTGTTGCCAGAGCTTCCCCAGGCCAGTGCTTCCTAGCCATATTATTAGTCTGAAAGTGCAGTTAATTACGGGTGAAGACAGGCGCTGTGCTAACAGTTTCTTCTTAATCCTTGTCTTTTCTTTCTGAGACTGGAGCTTACTATATATCTCTAACTGGTCTAGAACTTGATCAAGTCGGCCTCCAACTTGCAGTGATCCTTCTGCCTCTGTGCTGAGATCAGTCACAAGCATTTACCACTCACGCTTGGCTTCTGCTTAGTTTATGAAATGAACGTGGAAAATAACGTTTTAGGCTATTTTTGCAGTAGCTGTGTTAGTAAATGTAGCCTATGAGATTTCACTGGTGTCTTTTTATTAGATATGTATTATCAGTCTTGCTTGAATTGAGTTTATTTTGGACACACACCTAAAAGGCTGGGACTGCTGCTCACGTGGTTTCGCGTGTTTCCGGAAGGCCTGTGGGACTCAGAAGGGGAATTTCTGAACACCCTGGCAGCACCTCTTGTTGAGGAACAGGGAAGCTGCATGTGACTCTGAGATTCTCCTCTGAGGAAAGCGGTGGTTCCTCGGGTTACAGCAGAGCTGGCAGGAGGCTTTGGTTCAGCTGTGACTCAGAGAAAATTGTATCCACAAAGTAGGATCTTTTTTTCTGTCTGTCTTTGCAGCCAAGAGCCTGGTTAGGTGCTGTTTTGTCTGATGCCTTCATTTTCTGCTATGCAAGTACTTATTTGTATGAGCCTTAAAATCCCTCTTAATTCCCTTTAGTTGGGAGACCCCAGAAGTTCAGAGGAAGCTGCTGTTCCTTACTCAGCAACACTGCTAGGAACCAATTGCTAAATGAGAAACTCTGTTTAAGGAAAAGTACTGCTTACAAAGCATGCTCCATGGGCTGGAGAGATGGCTCAGAGGTTAACAGCCCTGGCTGCTCTTCCAGAGGACCCGAGTTCAATTCCCAGCACCCACATGGGGGCTCACAAAGCCTGCTCCATGTGCAGCAGTGGCAGGTGGCATATGCTCACTTGCTCATCTGTATTAAAACAGTTTAATACTTCTTTAGGTCGAAAAGTGCTCACATTCATACATAATGAGAGGAGAAGGCCACAAGTTAATTATTAAAACTTTATCAGGTTCCAAAGAGCAGAAGGAAGCATCCCAGGATGAGGAATCTTTTACTATGTTTGTATGACTTTGACACATAACTTTTCTTTTAAGAAAAGAAGGTAAATGTTGACGGTAATACCTGTTAGGGTAAAATGGGTTGGCTGTGGTCTAATGAAAAGCATTCTTCAGGTTTTCTGGAGAAAAATTGTATAAGTAAGTCACAAAAAAGTCTTGGGCAAACAGTTTTTGGGTGACGAAAGGTAGATTTCTTTTGTTAAATTTCTTATTTTCTTCACGAAGCAAGGGCCTTTGATGGGCACAGGATGAAGTGTCAGGCCAGGTGGCCAGACCCCCCCCCCCCTTCTGGAAACCCTGCTGTAAAGCTGAGGTTAGAAGGAAGTTTGGAGGAAGCTTACCCTGGCCTAGCTGGAGGAACAAAGGACAAGGCAGAGCAGGGCACAGTAAACCGTTTGTGCTCCAGTAGGCAATCAGGATGGTGAGCCCTGCCAACAGAGGAAAAAATTAGTTTTTATGAGTGTGCACCTGCCTGCCCTCCTACCCACGGGTGTGCACCCGCCTGCCCTCCTACCCACGAGTGTGCACCCGGCCTGCCCTCCTACCCACGAGTGTGCACCCGGCCTGCCCTCCTACCCACGAGTGTGCACCCGGCCTGCCCTCCTACCCACGAGTGTGCACCCGGCCTGCCCTCCTACCCACGAGTGTGCACCCGGCCTGCCCTCCTACCCACGAGTGTGCACCCGGCCTGCCCTCCTACCCACGAGTGTGCACCCGGCCTGCCCTCCTACTATCCTTTTTTTTTCTTAAAGGATTTATTTTATTTTTAATTATCTGTGTGTGGGGGTGTATGAGTGTGTTTGCGCATGCCTCCATGTTTACGTGCCCATGCCTGCACGTGCTCGTGTGTGCAGATGCCTACCAAGGCTAGAGGTGTCAGGTCCAGGAACTGGAGTTACAGACAGTTAAGCCAAATGATGTAGGTGCTAGGAATGGAAGTCGGGTCTTCTGGAAGAGCAGAGAGTGCTCTTAACCCCCCAAGCCATCTCTCCAGCCTCAGGCCATATTTCTAAAGTCATGGTTGATAAATGATACTTTTGCCTAATAGATCAGTACTTGACAGCTGGCCCACATTTTTTCCCCTGTTCTTATCTTCTTTGACACCCAAGCAGGCAGTTTCCTTATCAGCTGTGGTCCTCTCCCCAGATCTTACTCTCCTCCCTTCTCTTCTCCTCCCTCCTCTCCTTCCCTCCCTTCTTGACTCTGTGTGTGTGTGTTTCCAGATAGGATCTGGCTGTCTAAGCCTAGTCTGGCTTGAAACTTCTCCCAGACTGGCCTGGAGCTCTTAGCCTCCTGCTTTGCATTCTGAAAGCTGGAGTTAGAAGCACGCCTCAGTCGTCATGCTAGGTTTTCCTTTTCTTGCTTTCCAAAGTTTGTCTGTTTGAGACAGAGTCTATTTGTCCTGGCTCTCCTGGCACTCCCTACGTAGGCCCCACTGGTCTGGAGCTCACAGAGCTGCCTCTGTCCCCCTCGAGTGCTCAGTGCTGGGATTGAAGGCTGTGTGAGGCTCCCCCAAACCTTCCCACCCCCTTTAGGTTTTTCTGTCAATTCAAAGAGAGAACTGAAGAGTCAAACTCGGGTAAGAGGCAGCATGCTGGGTGTTTGTTGAGTTGGAATTATAGTTCTTGGGTAAGATAGGTGGGAGATGATTACCGTGGCATTCAAAGTTAATAAAGTGACTGTCTCAGCCAGTGTCTCAGTGACCGTTGTGTCACAGAGAGCCAGCTCTGGTCCAGTATAGTAGCTTTGTGTAATGGGAGCACTATTTGTACTCTATGAGCTAGGTGTGTGGTGTGGAATTAAAGGCATTATATAGAACCCCAGTAGGTAGGTGGATTATAGTTTTAAGGTCATTTTTTGTTATTGCTTGTTTTTGTTTTTTCAAGACAGGGTTTCTTTGTGTAGCCCTGGCTGCCCTAGAACTCGCTCTCTGTGTGCCACCACTGCCTAGCAAGATTTGGAGTCTTGCTGGGTGCTGGTGGCGCACGCCTTTGGGAGGCAGAGGCTGGAGGATCTCTGTGAGTTCAAGGCCAGCCTGGTTTACAAGAGCTAGATTAGATCCAGGACAGGCTCTATAGCTACAGTGAAATCCAGTCTTGAAAAAAAATTGGAGTCTCTGTTTTCTTGTGTTGGTCCTACCCTCCTTTCTAAGCAGCTTCAAGTTGGCCTTGAACTTGTGACTCACCTGCCTCAGCCTCCAAATTCTGTGGTGGCAGGTCCATATTCTCTTCTGAGTACTTGAGAGCCAGAGAGTGCTGCCAGGCTGTTGGATCTCCAAAGCCCTCAAAGGAGAACTAGAACTGACCCTGATCCTGCACTTGTCCCCTGACCTCCACAGGTGCACACATGCTCACTACCATCACACACACACACACACACACACACACACACACACACGAAGGTTTTTACACTCCGAGTGTGTCTGTGGAGCTGACTGGTGTCAAAAGGATCCAGGAGAGGTGTGGCTGTGCCCTTTACCCGAGGCACTCCTTATGGCATCTGGTTCTTCCTTACAGGTTGCTTGTATGTACATTCTAGTTCCTGATCTTTGATTTTATTGAAGTGGAAGGCAGGAAGGAAAAAAGAGTTTTGGGAAGTGGGGAGATTTAGACTGTATAGAAACACCCCCAGTATGGGGGCAGTGGGTGATAAAAACTTTCTTCTCTATACCTTAAAATTAATGAAATGACGAAGAATGAATGCCTTTACCTCCTATTAGGCAAATATAAGAAGCCATTGTTTTAAATGCAAGCCCTTTTTCAATATAAGAAAAAAATTGCTTGTTACAGTTGCCCATGTATTTAGTATTTTATACTTTATTTTGTTTCTTTTTTAATGATTTATTTTAAGTGAGTTGGTGTTTTTCCTGCATGTATGTCTGTTTGAGGGTGTTGGGTCCCCTGGACTTGGAGTTACAGACAGTTGTAAGCTACTGTGTGGGTGCTGGGAATTGAACTCAGGTTCTCTGGAAGAGCAGTGAGTGCTGCGCTCTCTCTTCAGCCCTGTTATTTTGTTTCCTTAAGCTAGGATGTTACTATGTGGCCCCTGTCTGGGCTGGAACTTGCTAGGTAGACCAGGCTGGCTTTAAACCTCATCTCTCTGCCCCTGCTTCCTGAGTTCTGAATTCTGGGATTACAGGCTTTCACCACTACACCTGATAGTGCGTGATTTTTTCTTTTCTTTTTTCTCCTTCCTTCCTTCCTTCCTTCCTTCCTTCCTGTCTTTCTTCCTTTTTTTTTTCTTTTCAAGATAGGGTTTCTCTGTGCAGCTTTGGAGTCTGTCTGTCCAGAAACTCACTCTGTAGACCAGGCTGACCTTGAACTCACAGGGATCCACCTGCCTCTGCCTGCCGAGTGCAGAGAGCAAAGGCGTGCATCACCGTGTGATTTTTAAGGTAATCAATCTTCTTATTAAAGCGGCAGAAGAATTGCAGGAGAATACAGGGAGTGAATGTTCACACCTGAGAAGATAGGCTAGTGCTAAACAGCGGATGCTGGGGGTACTCTGTGGATGGCCGCTTACCCCAGAGTTAGAGTTAGGAAATGGCTCTCTTGAAAGAGGACTTCTCTTCCTTGTATTTGAGGGGAAAATCATCATTTCACAATTTGAGTCATTATATGGACACTAAGACAGAGGAGGAGTAAGTTAAGCTTTAGGCTGTCAGTGCCTGCCACTCTAGACAGCACAGAGCTGATTATCCGCTTTCAACTTCTATAGATAGTTTTCGCAGAATGTCCCCAGTGAGTGGCTGTCTGAAAGACTCTGACAATCTATAGAAGCTTTACATTTTGAGAAAAGTAAGTCGGGCCTGGCGATGTATGTTGCTGGAGCACCTGGGTTTGAGCCTCCCAACTACATATAACAATATTACAAGTACCTGGAGAAGCCTTTTTATTGCCAACAAAGATAGAAGTGAGCTCAGAACTTACTTCCTTTTGACCCACTTTTTGCTTTGCTACTGCTTCTTTCTCTCTCACTTCTGTACTTTCTGGCCTAGAGTTTAGAGTTTGCTGTGTAGCTGAGGCTGGTTTTGAACTCATGATCTTCCTGCCTCCTCCACTTTCAAAGTACTAGGATTATAGCTGTGAATCACCAAACCTGCTCCCAACTGCCTTTCTTTCTTTCCTTAAGCAACATTATTTGTGTGTGTGTGTGTGTGTGTGAGAGAGAGAGAGAGAGAGAGAGAGAGAACGAGAGAACGAGAACGTGGAAACTTGTAGGAGTCAATTCTGTTTTCCTACTATCTACCATGTGGGTCCTGAGGATGGAATTCAGGTAGCCTTGGTGGCCAGCACCTTCATTAGCTGAGCCAGCTCGCCAGCCCTCAGCCAGCCACCTTTTCTTCCTTTCTTCTTCCCTCCCTCCCTTGCTCTCGCTCTTACCTTTCTGTCTGTCTGTCTGTCTCCTCTCCCCCTTCCCTCCCCTCCCCTTTTCTTGTTTTTCTTTTCTACAGGGTTTCTCTGTATAACAGCCCTGGCTGTCCTGGAACTTCATAGACCAGGTTGGCCTTGAATTCAGAGATTTGCCTGTCTCTGTCTCTGCCTCCTGAGTGCCGGGATTAAAGTACACCACCACTGCCTAGCTGACAAGTTTTATTTCATTTTATTTTATTGTTTTCGAGACAGGGTTTCTCTGTAGCTTTGGAGCCTGTCCTGGAACTAGCTCTTGTAGACCAGGCTGGCCTTGAACTCACAGAGATCCACCTGTCTCTGCCTCCTGAGTGCTGGAATTAAAGGCGTGCATTATCATCGCTCAGCATACTGAATATTCTTAAACAGGATATCAGCTCTCATTACAGAAACAATCTGATTTAGTCATCCTGTGTGGCACTTCTCAGAACTAAACAGAGACTATGGAAGGACTGCTCGTGTCACGTGACCCAAAGCTTCCAGAAGCACTGCATGAAGTTTGATGGTTTCTTGTGGCCCAAGTTCCTTTTCTTATGAGAGTCCAGTGGCTGACCTGATGTGTAATTTCTCATTTCCTGTGGGTAGGATAACTGGGTGTCTTGCCTTATTCACATAGAATGACAAAGTTAAAAGGCTACCCACCAAGCCATGGCTGTGACTGGAGCCCAGCAGAATGGTCAGATGTGTGACAAGCCTCAGATGAGGCCACTATAAGTGGGTGGAAGAGGCTGGATTGATGAGTGGTAGTGGGGGTCTATGGGCTAGACGGGGCTAGTTGTCTGTTGCAGAAAAATGCTTGCCCCTGGTAACTGTGAAGGAGAGATGGTGCTTCTTCAATTAGCCAGGGACGGTGTGCTTATACCCAGAAGACAGGTGACACCCAGAGCTCCCTTTTGGGTCTAGATGATGGAATTCAATAAGGCAGAACATGTTAATATATAAAGAATATCCAGAAAATAAGGTGGAGGGCTGTTGAGATAGAGGAGAAAAAATGGTTTTTTTTGGGGGGGGGCTCCCTCCCCCTCTCAGCAGGTGAGCACTTTGAGGGTTCCTGGGAGCAGTATTAGCGATAACTTTCTCGCTGTATGTTTACGATCAACTGAGACAAGTCCATAGTAAGGAGGTTCAGAATTGAGAAGTTCAGCCTTTTTAGAGGTGAGAGATGGCTCCATCCAGGGACCCACACAGTGGAAGAAGGGAGCCAACTCCTGTGAGTTATATGATACCCATGTCTCCCCGGCTCCCTGAAAAAAATAAATAAATGTAAAAAAAAAGTTCAGCCTTTGTAGTGAGGCCAAGTCGACAGTGTGCTGTGGATAGACCACCGTGTCAGCTTGCTAATGCTCCCCCAGTCCCCAACTGCACCCTGATATGCCATTGGTGCCCAGAGAAACACTGCTTCCCACAGATGGGGCCCAGTCCTGCTGGTACCTCAGCATTCTTGCAGATCCCAGGGCAAGTTAGCCTGTAGGTGACTAGCTTCTCCCAATTTTGAGAGCGAGACTGGAACTTTCTTTAGTTTTCCCTCAGGAAATAGTGGTCATCCACTTGAGAGGCACTTCCACACCCGTCCAGAAAACTGAATCATGAGTTTAAATTGTGAGATAGGCCAGATTTTTATTCCCTTTTTTGGTCACATGGCTGATGTTGATTTCCCTATCCTGCCTCTATTTTCCAAATTTTGTTACTACAAACCAGGCTGCTTTCTGTTCTTTTAAAAGTTGTGAATTTTGGAGATTATTCCGGTGTTAGATATTTTGGTTAATATTGAGGCTATTTTGGGTTAATTTGGGCTAATATTGAAGCAAAGACTTGTTGATTGGCAGCCTGCTAGTGGCTAGTGTGTATGAAGACAGATTTGTTGGGAGCTGGGTGTGGTGGTGCACACTTTTAATCCCAGCAGAGGCAGGTGGATTTTTGTGAGTTCAAGGCCAGCCTGGTCTATTAAGGAGTTCCAGGACATCCAGGGCTGCACAGAGAAACCCTGCCTCAAAAAACTGAAACAACAATAACAATAACCAGACATATTTGTTGGCAGGTTCATCTGCTGTGCATAAACAGGGTCCCACATGAGCTTGGAACCCGTGAGAACCAAGAGGCTAGCTCCCAGCCTCTTCCTGGCCTCATCTTTTATTGTTTTTGTTACTGTTTCTTAATCCTGTTTTGAAACCTGTAGTTATTTTCAGGGTCAGCTGATTGAGGAGAGGATTGTTCCTTTCATACAAGGGTACAGCTATATGGTGACAAAAGGCGTTAGTTTTGTTCTGATTTTTTACCTTTCTTTTCTCTTATAGAATCCTATTCTAAGAACACAGATACTCAGGTATCTACCATGGTGTTGGATCCTGAAGAAAAGATGCCAGACGGTAACTTATATCTTTGTGCCATAGTCTGCATGGGATTGGGCTTTCCTAGATAAGACAGCTATGAATGAAATTAATTTATGACCATAGGATTCTTCCTCATATCTTATTTCTAATTGCCAGCTGAGTTGTGACCAGGTAGTTTGGTTTCTAGAACAGTAATGCTTGCAAGGACAGTGTCATTCCCAGACTTGGCGATGACCTCCAATGTGTTCCCTCTATCTGCAGTGTTTCCTATGCGTGTGGAGCAGAGCACCTGAGCTCCTCCTCTAGACTACCCACTCCGTTCTGCTTAGTAAAGATGGTGGGGCCCAGCACCCTAGAAAACCAGAGCTCTGATATTTTAGTGGGTTGTAGGGTTTATGAGAAAGAGGAGAAAGCCTCGTGATGCTAGCAGCTCCGTGGACTTTGGAAGCTCTTGGTGAACTAGCCATTTTCTGCTAGGCCTCCCCCACTTGGATTTAAGATTAAAGTGCAGACTTCAGGAAAACACTGCTTTCAGGCTTCTATGAGCCCTGCTGTCACAAGGGCGCTAGCACCCGTGACCACCAGCCCTTCAGTCCTACGCAGAGAGGCCTTAGTCAGACTTCCCAGACTTCTGCTTTGCCACATCCTCTTAGTGTCGGGTGGGTTTTCCAGTCCTCTCTTCTGTTGTGTGAGACTGATAGAGCTGTGGAATGTAGAATGTAGAATGATCCTTAGAGTGAGTCCTGCTGGATAACGGGATGGGAGGACGTCCTAGTGCCTAACTTATTTTCTTTTAAAATTAGGATTCTGAATTTTCATGGGGCTAGTTTGTCAATATTGAGTCATAGGTATGAGTTGCTTTGTTGGCTTTAAGACAAAGTCTTGTTAAATTGAAGCCCAGACTGAGCTCGGACTTGTATCCCTTTTGATTTAGCCTTTCAAGCATGTCATTGTCCTTAGAGAACCATTATTAGGTGGGTGTAGAGGTGTAGAGGAAGTCCAGTGATTAGTGTTAAGACCGACCCAGGGAGGAGACAGCGTGGATCTGAGAGGAGGTAGGGTAAGTAGGGACAGGAAGGACTCTAATCAAAATGCACGGTGTGAAATTCTCAAAGGACTATAAAATATCATGTTCAACTGATCCAAGGCTGAGAGCTTTTGGAGGCTTTTGAACTCTTCTTGGCTTCCAAGAGTTAGGGTTGCAGGCTGGTACACATATTACCCTGTAAAGATATTTAATTTATTGGGCTGGGGATGTAACTTGTTTGTAGAGTGCTTGCCTAGCATGCATGTTTAAAACCAGGTATGTGGCTGTAATCCCAGCACTTGGGAGGTGGGTGCAAAAGAATCAAGTTCAGAGTCATCCTTGGCACAAACCAGTCTGGGCTCCAGACCAGTCTAAGACCAGCCCTTGTGTCTAGGCTGGTGTCGTGTGTGTGCGGGTCTAAAACTGTTCTCAGTGATGGGGGAGCATATGCAGACAAGGGTTAGCATTACCGAGAGTGCTCATTAGTGGATGTGGTCATGTTAACGCAGATGGCGCTTCTGGAGACCATGGAGACTCTGCCAGCCTCAGCGCCATCAATCCTGCCTATAGTAACTCCTCCCTCCCTCAGTCCACTGGGGACTCTGAGGAGCCCTTCACCACCTACTTTGACGAGAAGATCCCCATTCCTGAAGAGGAGGTTAGTGATGGTTCCTTGCAGAGGACCCTGTGTCCTGGGGAAAGCCTTGGAGGGACAGGTCTGCCAGCCACCTCTAGCTCAACAACCTGAGGTCTTATTTTGGCAGCCAGTCTCTGACATCATCAGGATAAATGGCCTCTGTGGGAAAGGTGCTAGTGCGAACTTTGTAGCTTATGGAAGGATGGATATTGTGGCTTCCCTTTTCAGCTGTGCCTCTGCTCCTGTGTGGGTAGTGGGGGAGCCTAAGGGTGCCATGCTATTTAATGCCCCTGTGTGGGTAGTGGGGGAGTCCAACGGTGTCATGGTGTCATGTTACTTAATGTAGCACGAGCTGCTGATGGGGAGCTGGTAAAGGAAGGGCTGTCACTGAGAGAAACAGCCACCTTGTTGGTAAAAAGTAGATGAGCTTGATGTGACACGTGGGCGTGTGCACTGCGTGCCCTGAGCCCCTGCAGCTGGTGCTATCCCTTGACAGGTGACAGAGTAGCGGAGACACTCAGGCTGCCTTTCCTCTCTCGTTTACAGTACTCCTGTTTTAGCTTTCGTAAACTCTGGGCGTTCACGGGGCCTGGCTTTCTTATGAGCATTGCCTACCTAGATCCAGGAAACATCGAATCTGATTTGCAGTCTGGGGCAGTGGCTGGATTTAAGGTGAGCATCCAGTTTATAAGTTTTCATTATTGTTGTTATTGTTATTTTTGCAATGCTGAGGATGGACTATGGGGCCTTGCCATGCTGTCCCTGTCTTTGAGCCCTTGTTACACTCTTACGACTTTTTCTTGATCATGTTGAGTAGCCTTCAGGTAGAGTTGACCCTTGAACAACATAGGTTTGAACTGTGCATGTCTACTTATGTGTAGGTTCTTTTTCTATTTTACTTATTTACATCGCTGTCCTGGAACTCATTATGTGACCAGGCTGGCCTCTGGCTTCAAAATGCTAGAGCTAAAGGTATATGCTGTCATGCCCAGCCCAGACATAACAGTCTGTTTTATAATTTACTACCCCAGGCTATGTGGAGATCTACTGCAGAAAGGTTAACATGCACCCCATCCTCTGCACACACACAGTTCACGGTGGAGCTGTTCTCAGTTGAGAGAAATGAAAGCAAATGTAAGATGTTGCTAACTCCTGACCATGTACAGTTAGCTGTCATGTGTGCTATACTTCTGTGTTGGCACCTGGTGCTCTTGTGAGTTCATGTGATTGCTTATGATGTGGTCGTTTTTGTGTGAGCAGCTTCTCTCTGAGTAAGGGATGTAGTACAGTAAGAAGGATTTCTTGGGTTGTTGTGGAGTTTTTACCATGGGTTTTATTCATGCCAATGTCTTCTTGGCCTTTTGGCTAAGCGTAAATAGGTGTGCTGTATTATTGGTGTGGCTTCTGATAAACAGGCTGTCTGTCAAGTTTTAGGGGTGAAATGTTACATGAAAACTAGGCAGAGGAGTCTGGGGCTTGGTGTCCAACCTCCTGTCTTAGTTACTTTTCTAATACTCTAATGAAAGACTATGTCAAGCCAACTTAGAATGCTGGGCGGTGGTGGTGCACGCCTTTAATCCCAGCACTCGGGAGGCAGAGGCAGGTGGATCTCTGAGTTCGAGGCCAGCCTGGTCTACAGAGCTAGTTCCAGGACAGGCTCCAAAGCTACAGAACAAAACAACTTTAATAGGGCTTACAGTTTCAGAGCATTTACAGTTCATAATGGTAGAACAGAGGTGTGGGGGACAGCTGAGAGCACATCTTGGTCCCCAAATAGGAAGCAGAAAGGACACTGGGAATGGCAGGAAGCTTTTGGAGCCTCAAAACTGCCCCGTGACACACCTCCACCAAGACCACGCTTTCTGATTCCTCCAAACAGTTCCACCAACTGTATTCAAAGTTAGGAGCCCATGGCTATTCTGGTTCAAACCCCAGTGCCTCTCATTGTTCCAGCATGCACAGGTCTTCATCGGCACTGACACTTCGTGAAAAGTCCTTACTATATGGTCTTTTGTTTTTTATTTGTTTTTGTTTTGAGTTTTGGATTTCTGAGACAGGGTTTCTCTGAATAACAATCTTAACTGTTCTGGAACTCACATTGTAGACCAGGCTGGCCTTGAATTCACAGAGATCTGCCTGCCTCTGCCTCTAAAATGCTTAAGCCACCACTGCCTGGTGTGGACTCTTGTTTTATCCACATAATATCCTTAGGAAAAGCAAAAGATGGGAAACTGAGGATCAGAAATATGCTAGACCTAGTGGGTCACGTGTAGAAGCTGATGCAGAGTGTGGACCCATCCCCCTGCTTTGACGAACTGTTTCCCGTTAGCAAAAAAAATCCCTTTGGTTGTCTAATGATGTTGGCGGATGTTGTTCTTCTCAGTTGCTCTGGGTGCTTCTGTTGGCTACCATTGTGGGACTGCTGCTCCAGCGTCTTGCAGCTAGACTTGGAGTGGTTACCGGCTTGCATCTTGCTGAAGTGTGTCACCGTCAGTATCCCAAGGTGAGTGGCTTGTCTGTTACGGTGCAGGAATCTGTGTGTCTGGTATTATGTACTGGCCCCACTCTGGATTGAGCCAGAGGAGGAGTTGGGGTCAGTGTCCCTGAAACTAGAAGTACCAAGGGGATCCTAATGCCTCCTCTGCTGTCAGCCTGTGTCCTCCTTCAGAATCTAACATGGGGCTCCCTTTGTTGTTGTTCTTTTGAGACAGGCTCATGTAGCCAAGGCTAACATTGATCTCTATATTTAGCCAAGGATGGCCTTGTGTTTCAACCTCTCCAGAGGTCCTAGAATTACAGGCACACACAGGTTTCCTTAGGGAAATGCGGCATGAGTAAGTATTAACCAGGTTCCCCTTATTTTGTTTGATGTCACCATCACTTTGAAAAATATGTTTTTTACAAAGTATATGTGGTAGGTCCTGTGGATTGGCTAATTATTTTCAGTTTACTCTAAGTATCCTACCTTTCATACTTGCCACCTTAAGTGGGAATGACTTCTGTCAGAAGACTTTGCAGGGGAGCTGAGGACAAAACTCAGGCCTTCCCAAATACTCCACAGGCACCCTAGAGATTGAACCACTTCTGTCATGGCTGAAAATCTTTTTAAGTTAGTTCACTTGTAGATATGAAACAGGCCTCCCTTGGGAGTGCCCTAAATTTTTAGTCTCATTTCTGACTATGAACATAGAGGTTTTGTGTTGTTGTTTTTCTTTTCTATTCTCCTAGGCTGGTGGGTCAGCGGTCTCTGTCACTCTGTACTCCCTCCCTCAGCCTAGGATGTTCTTGAACTCTTTTTTTTTTAAAAAAAAAAAAGAAAATAAATATTTCGGGAGCTGGAGAGATGGCTCAGTGGTTGAGAGCATTGCCTGCTCTTCCAAAGGTCCTGAGTTCGATTCCCAGCAACCACATGGTGGTTCACAACCATCTGTAAAGAGGTCTGGCGCCCTCTTCTGGCCTTCAAGCATACACACAGACAGAATATTGTATACATAATAAATAAATAAATAAATATAAAAAAATAAATATTTCTTTATTATGTATGCCGGCAGGCCAGAAGAGGGCACCAGACCTCACTACAGATGGTTGTGAGCCACCATGTGGTTGCTGGGAATTGAACTCAGGACCCCTGGAAGAACAAGCAATGCTCTTAACCACTGAGCCATCTCTCCAGCCCTGTTCTTGAACTCTTGATCATCCTGCTGGAATCCCTGAGTACAGGTGTTATAGGCCTGTGCTACCATGTGTGATAAATATGTTATTTTTACCAACTTTTCAGAAAATGTTGTTGTTTTATAATTCCCTTTAGTGTCTTTTTCTTTGCGCATATTATAGTTATTTATGAGAGGAGACTTTTTGGATAGTAAGTATCTGGAGGCTTTCTTTCTGGTGTCAGTAAGCCAACATTAACTAAATGTGTTTTTCCATTCATCTGTTGGTCTAGATTTAGTTTCCTGGTTTGCTGTATTCCATCTATTCTCAACTAGTTTACCATGAACACTTTAAAAAAGAGATTTATTTTTTTTTAAATTCTGTATACATATTTGAATATGTACATTTGAGTATGGGTGTCTGTAGAGGTTAGAGGCTTCAGGATCCCCTGGAGCTGGACTTGAAGGAGTTGTGAGCTGCCTGACGTGAGTGGCATGAGCTGAGATCCAGTCTGCATCTTCTACAAGAACAGTATGCACTTTTGTTGCTGAGCCATCTCTCTAGTCTCTTACCCTAAATACTAATACGTATATCTTTTTCCGTTGTTCCATATTATTTTCTGACTTTCCTGGAACTCACTCTGTAGACCAGGTTGGTCTTGAACTCACAGAGATCCTCCTGCCTCTGCCTTCCAAGTGCTAGGATTAAAGGCATGCGCCACTACCTCCTGACTGATTGAGGCTTTCTTAATTGCTCATTTCTTGTTCTCTCTTGACTTCCATATTGGCCATGTTGATATGTTTATTTTTCCCTCAAACTTCTTAGATTGTTTTTGGGCAAGAGAGTAAGTGGAAAGTAATGAACAGAAGTTTGATTCTTCTCCTGAGAAGGATTAAGGAGAAAAAAGTGAGCTGGGTTGCCACCCTTACCTTGGCTCATAGTCTCCTGCTCTGTGTGGGGTTGAGTTCTGGTATGTCTGTGTAAGGCTGTGTGTGGTTCTGTGCCAAAATCTGAATTCTAAATGAAGGAGGAAGTTCTTATACCGCCGAATGATGAGAGCCGCTGTTTGCTTTGCAGGTCCCACGGGTCATTCTGTGGCTGATGGTGGAGTTGGCGATCATTGGTTCTGATATGCAGGAAGTCATTGGCTCAGCCATCGCCATCAATCTCCTGTCGGCAGGAAGGTGGGGGCTTCCCGCTAGATCATTGTTGGTATTGAGCTGGATTCCAAAGACAGGGTGAAAATGAACAGAGCATTCCGGAGCCGCCTTCATCTTTCCCAGCAGACATAGTCCCTGTCTCTCCCATTCCCTTGATGTGCACACTTGTATTTAAATCGATTGTGTGGGGTTTTGTACAATTACTCCTTTGTAAGTGGGGGGGGCTACTTATCTGACTGCATAGTGACCCACGCTTGGTGTGTTCCGCACATCTGACACAGTAAGCTCCCAGGGAGGCTGTCAGTGGATGGCCTTTAGTTGATGCTGCTTCTCAACCACCCGTGGCTTGGCTTCCTGCCACTGTTGCTTTTCCCCAGGCCCTAGCCTTCCCCCCATGTTCTGTGTTGGACAAGCTGTGAAGAAAGTGTCTTCCGTGGGTCTTCAATCTCTATTTCTCTTCTCTAACCTAGGGTCCCCCTGTGGGGTGGAGTTCTCATCACCATCGCAGACACTTTTGTCTTTCTCTTTTTGGACAAATATGGTAAGGAGGGTGGAACTGGTGGGTGAATCAAAGCCACTGGCTTCAGGCACATGGCTACACGGAAGTCTGTCTTCTGGGTGCTAACTGTGTGTTTCCCCCTTAGGGTTGCGGAAGCTGGAAGCATTTTTTGGCTTTCTCATCACTATTATGGCCCTCACATTTGGATATGAGGCAAGTGTTATAGGCTGTTGGTTAACTATTTAAAACAAAGTTTCATTTTGTTTGTTTGTAGTCTTTATTATAAAAAGCAATAATAGGGCTGGAGAGATGGCTCAGTGGTTAAGAGCATTGCCTGCTCTTCCAAAGGTCCAGTAACCACATGGTGGCTCACAACCATCTGTAATGAGGTCTGATGCCCTCTTCTGACCTGCAGGCATACACGCAGACAGAATATTGTATACATAATAATTAAATATTTTTTTAAAAAAAAAAAGCAATAATAATGCCAGAATAGTTTAACTGTATTGGATCAACAAAAAGCCAGTGTATTTCTGGGCTGCTTTTGAAAAAATATAGTCTGTGGCAAGGATTCACATGCAGGAAAGCCCGTAGAGATTTCTTTTGGATCAAAAATGACTAGACCTTTCAGGACCAACATTTTTGGTCCCAAATTAACTACCCTGACAGCAGGACAGTTTTAGGGTGGCACAGACAGAGGCATATGTTGACTGTTAACTCAAAGCAGTTCTGTTTGTGCTCATCATGACTGAAATTAATTAACCAAGCTTGACTATTTCCTGTAATAGACCAGCGGATGGTAGTGGTGCACATGCGTGGTGGTGCATGCCTGTAATACGAGCAACTAAACAGAGGCAGACTGGTCTCTGAGTTTGAGGCCAACTTGATATACCTAGAGAGTTCCAGACCAGCCAGGGCTGTAGAGTGAGACAAAAAACTGTTGATGAGTAATAGGTGATTGGCTGTTTTCCTGGCTTGTTGCTTGCCTGTCACTAGGGATAAGTACCATTATGTTTACCTTCTTATGTTCAGTTATAAACTGATTTCTTCTTACAAGCCTGCCTAAACATTGAAAGATATCTAGTCTATGAGCAGATTTTTCAGGTTGTCCCAAGGCTTGCAAGAGAAATGCTAAGCCAGGAGGAAGTTTGGGTGGGCAGTGCTAAGGAATGACCCCCTCCCAGCACACGAGCAGGTGAACAGCAGTGTATGGAGTGTGGGTTTAAGAACGGAACTGTTCTTGGATCTGTATCAGCAGTTACAGCGACACAAATACCAACGAGACCTTTAGTCGGTTTGGTTCCTCAGAACACTGTGTTCTCTACATATCTGCATTGTACATTTTAATTGTAATGTAAGATATTCGGAATATATAGTCCTTAGTCCTGGCCCCTGGCAGCAAGCCCCAGAATTAGTTATCTTTGGTAGTTGTAACTAAAGTACTTGAGGAAAGTAACAGGAGGTGAAGGGTCTACTTAACTGGGGCTTCAGAGGGCTCGGGCTGCATGCAATTCCTTGGGCAGAACACCCTGGCGACAGGAGATGTGCTGTTGGAGGTTCTGTCTCAGTGCAGACAGAAGCACGGAGGTTCAGGACATGGCTAGGTCCAGGAGGATTGCCACCATTCATGTACTTCTTCCAGGGAGGCTCCACCTGCCAAAGTTTCTACCACATCCCCAAATTGTATGAGCACAATGGGGCTTGAGTCGGTCATGAGCCTGCGGCAGTTTCTGTTCCGACCACAGCAGCCCTTTGTCGCCGTTCACTGCTGATGCTGTGCTTAAACTCAGGGCCTTGTGCATACTAAGTGCGTACCTGTTCATGATTCCATATTCCTATTCCAGGCAGTTATTACAGAGGGTAAAGGAGTGAAGGATGCCAGTGTCCTTAGTGCTGTTCTTCCTGTTCCATGTTACGGTAAAGGCTAATAGGTGTTGTGTTGCTGTGTAGTATATTACAGTGAAGCCCAGCCAGAGCCAAGTGCTCAGGGGCATGTTCGTGCCGTCCTGTTCAGGCTGCAGCACTCCTCAGATTGAGCAGGCTGTGGGCATCGTGGGAGCTGTCATCATGCCACACAACATGTACCTGCATTCCGCCTTAGTCAAGGTGAGCAGTGCCCTTCCGAATCCTTAGTTTCTGCCTGCTAGAGCTGTGTAGGAGCTGTGCTCTGCGGGAGTGCACTATTTCTAAGGCTGGCGGGGCTGTGTTTATTACCAAATTGACCAGGAAAAGTGATCCTCAAATTCCAGGCTAGTGTTCTTCATAAAAGATCTGAAAGTCTTGAGGTCCAGAGGTAAGGAGGGCTTTCCCAGTAAGTCAGGCGTTGCTTGGCTGAGATAGGTTGGACACTTGACAACTAGTCCACTAGACAGAACTGAGATCGTCTCTGGGAGCTCAGCCTGGGTGCTGGCTGCCCCATTTGGGGGTTGTGCACTGTTGTCAAGGGTGTGGAGTTCTTTGTAGCTTAGTGAGCTAAGATCTGTTTCATCTAGCCAGTTGTTTGCCCTCTTAATCTTTCAGCTGACTTCAAAGTTCTGAGTTGCTACAAAGAAACTTCCTGCAACTAATGGACAAATGCCTGCTGCCTTTGTCTCTCTAGTCTAGACAGGTAAACCGGGCCAATAAGCGGGAAGTCCGGGAAGCCAACAAGTACTTTTTCATTGAGTCCTGCATCGCACTCTTTGTTTCCTTCATCATCAATGTCTTTGTCGTCTCGGTCTTTGCTGAAGCATTTTTTGGGAAAACCAACATGCAGGTGGTGAGTAAGCCAGAGTTGTGGGTGGTGAATGCCAGGTGAACTGCATGCCTGAATGGGGGCAGGAAACTTATCTGAGGTCTAGGTTGCCCTCCTATTCCTCTAGTATACACACCAGCCAGTCTATGGTGTAGCTTCCCACCCGGAAGCCTCTTCCCACCCATTCCCGGGGTGAACTGGAAGAGCTGGCCTTGGGCTCACAGCTGCCTCCTGCTGTCGTGGAGGTGTAGCATCTTGGCTGTTTGGCCATTGTTATTTCTGTTTCCTTTTTATTAACTGCTGCCTGCCTGTCAGCTAGTTGTGCTGAGGAAAGGTCTGGAGGAGTCAGCAGAAAGGAAGCATGCTCTGACAGGGCGGAGCTCAACTCGTGTTGAATTCTCTCCCATTCATTTTGTTTGGTTGTTTTCTTTGAGGTTTTTTGTTTATTGTGGAGTGTTTTAAGATGCCAGGGTTGAACTCAGCAAGTGTTCCACCACGGAGCTGCTTGCCTGCATTGCTATCTAGTTTTGTTCATCATTTATGTCTACAGGAGTGACCCTGGTTCTTTGACTGAGGTCCTCTGGGTGCTGATGTTCTCTGAAGTCTTCTGATTTGGTTTCCTTTTTTTTTTTTTTGTTTTGTTTTGTTTTGTTTTGTTTTGGGTTTTGGCTTTTGAAAAAAGGGCTTCATTGTGTAGTCCTGGGTCCAGGCTTGAAACTCCGTAGACCAGGCACCTGCCTCTGCCTCCCAAGTACTGGGATTAAAGGCATCACCATGCTCTTCATTTAATATAGTTTTTGTTTTTGGGTTTTTTGTTTGTTTGTTTGTTTGTTTGTTTTGTTAAGTTCTACTTGTGTAGCCCAGTCTGGCCTCAAGTTTAGGATTCTTGTAGCTCAGCTCCCTGAAGGCTGCCCTCTAAGAGGGAAGCCCTTTGAAAGAGTTTCTTTCCTTACTGCATTTATAGTACTCCAGCATTTGCATATTGCCCTGCAAACTCTGTCTCAGTAAACACTTTGGTGCTGGAGGGAATATAAGGCCTGGGGGAGAGCTGCAGATAGAGGCAGGCAGGCTGTTGACCCCCTGGAGTGCCTCCTCTGCTTATCTGACACAGAGGAGTTTGGTGAGACAAATAGGGAGTTCTTATCTGGCTCTCATTTCTAAAACTGCTTTGGGCTTTAGGTTGAAGTCTGTGGGAATAGCAGCAGCCCCCACACTGGCCTCTTTCCTAATGACAACTCAACTCTGGCTGTGGACATCTATAAAGGGGTAAGCACACTAGTTTGCAGCCTCTGCTTTGGGGTAAGTGTTTGCATATCCTCTTTGAGAGTTTATTTCAGATCTGAGTATAATTCATCTGAGTATCTTTTATTTCTGAGACCCTAGGACAGGTGCACATTTGGGGTTTTAGCAACTCCTAAACTCAGGAGGGCACCTTAAAGTTTGCAGGTAGTGACTGCAGTGACAGGTGAATTAGTGAAGTGCTCATTCCTGGGACCTTTTGCCCCATCATGTTGGTTCCAATGTGACCCCCAAGAACATAGTATGTATCCTACATTCCCCACACGGTTCACTGTCTGCACTGCTCCTGCCATTTTTCATGAGAGTACATTAAGGAGCAGGCTTTGGGAAGTGCAGGGCTCTGTCTCTTTAGTATTTAAGGTTAGAGATGAAGGGATAAAGGGATGCCCAGCAGTCGGGTGGAGCCTCTGGGTCACACCAGCACCGAGTCTCACTGCCTAGCAGTGCCCAGTGCAGCACTTGATGTGCTGGCGTTTCACGAGGAGAGGGAGGTGCTGCAGAGGGCTACTGTTCCGGGTGTCACTCACACGCTCCTATCTCTCTCCCTGTCCCAGGGTGTTGTGCTTGGATGTTATTTTGGGCCTGCAGCACTCTACATCTGGGCAGTGGGGATCCTGGCTGCAGGACAGAGCTCCACCATGACAGGAACCTATTCCGGCCAGTTTGTTATGGAGGTGTGTGCTGGGGTTGAATACAGGGGATGGCACAGCACTTGAGTGTCTAACTCCATGGTTTACAGGTTTCCCTGACTTCCCCAAGCATTTCTCTCTCCTGTCACTGTGGTCACCAGCCCCCATGCTTTCTTCCAGGGATTCCTGAACCTAAGATGGTCACGTTTTGCCCGAGTGATTCTGACACGCTCTATTGCCATCATCCCCACTCTCCTTGTTGCTGTCTTCCAAGATGTAGAGCATCTAACAGGGATGAATGACTTCCTGAATGTTCTGCAGAGCTTACAGGTAGGTGAGCAGGCAGCTGGGGAAGCGCATGTTGGAGGCTGGGTACTAGGGGTGAGTGAGAGGAAGGAAAGGCAATGAAGTTCATTAAATGGAAATAATGAGCTCTGCTTAATATATAAAACACAAGTGTGAGGCCACCAAGATGGCTCAGTGGATAAAGTGCTAGCTGTTCAGTTGTACAAGTGTAAAGTCCCCTGAAGACATGGTAAAAGGAAAGAGCTGTCTCCATATTCACCCACAACATGGGCATGTCTGTCTGTCAGTCCGTCTATCCTTTTCTCCCCACTCAGTCTCTGTCTTTCTCACACAAATAAATAAGTAACTTAGTAATACATAAAAATCCACAGCACTGTAGCTCGTTAAGGCAGTAAGGGTAATTCATTAAATGATTTCTAAGGGCACCACTACCTCCTGTGGAGGTTACAAGACAAGTCACAGCCAATATGTTATTTATTTAAGATTATGTGTTTTTATTTACATGTATCACGTTTTACCTTTGTGTGAATATGAGCACTGTATGTGTGCCTGGAACCTGCAGCGTTTGGAAGAGGGCATCAGATCCCCTAGCACTGGAGTTGCAGACAGTTGTGAGCTGCCATGTGGCTGCTGGGAATTGAACCCTGGTCCTCTGCAAGAGCAGCAAACAAAGTGTTCTTAACCACGGAGCCATCTCTCCAGCCCCCAGTGCGTTGTCTTTTGTGTTTAAACAAAGGCACTTAGGATCATGATTAGGTGCTGGGTTAAAAATAATGTTTGGCAAAGGCAAGGTGATAGGAGCAGCTATTACCATGGCACAGATGAGATATGGTTTATGACTCCTATCTGTGAGCAGTGCTGGTGTCTGTGTGGTACAGTAACCACGATTGAGGTAGAGGGAGAGAGCACAGCAGAGCCAGGCCAATGCCAGTAAGCAGCATTCCTCCCAAGTGTCTGCTCAGGTCCTGCCCTGACTCTTGGTGATAGACTGTGACCTGGAAGTATAAGCCAGATAACTCCCCAACACCCTCCCCACATTGCTTCTCATCAATGTTTAATCACAGCCTTAGAGATGAAACTAATGCACCCATGTAATTCCATCCTTTTTTTCCAGCTTCCCTTTGCTCTCATACCCATCCTCACCTTTACCAGCCTGCGGCCAGTGATGAATGAGTTCTCCAATGGCATGTGAGTACACTTGTCACCCTCCCCAGGAGGTGACTTTTTACCTAGCAGGCCAGTCAGAAATGTCTTCTCTAGGAGAGCTGTGTGTTTCTAGCTGCTTCCTCTCAGGACATTAAGACACTGGCGAGGGTGAGCTACAGTAAGGAGGAGAGCTGCTTCAGACCTTCCTGTCCTAGCCCTTCACCCTCTGCTGCTGAGGTTTCAATTCTGTGCACTCCGGTAATATGTTCAGTGCACACCTTTTTTTTTTTTTTTTTTTTTTGTATTTTATTTTCGAGACAGGGTTTCTCCGCAGCTTTTTGGTTCCTGTCCCTGGAACTAGCTCTTCTAGACCAGGCTGGCCTCGAACTCACAGAGATCTGCCTGCCTCTGCCTCCTGAGTGCTGGGATTAAAGGCGTGCGCCACCACCGCCCGGCGCAGTGCACACCTTGAAGGGAGATGTGGGGTGTGTTCTAGTTTCATTTCTGCTGCTTTGACAGATACCATGCCAACAAGCAGCAAATGGGTGGAAATGTTTATTTGGCTTACAATTCCAAATTACTGTCCATTGTTCTGGAAGAAGTCAAGGCAGAACTCAGATAGTCCTATCACTGGCACTGTCAGGAACAAGGGGTAAGCACATCCTTGCCTGCATGTTTGCTCTAAGCTTGCTTCTTTCTTACACTGTTGAGGATGCACTGGCTGGGTAATGGTGCCACCCTGAGTGGGCTGCTTGTTCTGCGTCATCCCTACAGATGCGCCCACAAGCCAGCCTGGTATAGATAATTTCCCTTTGAGACTACCTTCCCACGTGGTTCTTGGCTCTGTCAAGTTAGCACCTAAAACCAGTCAGTGCAGGTGCTCATGTGACCTGTTAGGGTCCCAGGGTCTCTAATTGTCACCACTCTAGAGGCGGTGGGACCTGGGAGAGTGGAGCTGATAAATGAGGTGGACTGAAGTCTCATGCAATAGCCAACTTTATTCAGAGCCTTGGACAGTGTATACTTTGAGGGCTAAGGCAGTCGTGCGTGTAAAGTTCTCTGTGTTCAAGCTGTGTACATGGGACTGGCAGCATGCGGCAAGAACTTGTTTTCCTATAGAGGTCTGTACAGGAGAGCTTAAACATTTAATTGGATAACAACAGCAAGCAATAATGAGTAACCTGAAGGCAACTCACTCCTGCCCACTGCACCTGGGTGGCAGGCGGGACGACCCAGAACACATTCCAAGAACAGTGCCATGTTTTTGGAGAAATTGAGGTCACAGACTCTAATCTTGACACCATTCCTGGACCATGTTCTGATATCTAATGAAATGGCTCTGCGTTTCCAGAACCTGCTGATTTCTGGGGTCTTAAATGCTAGATTTTTGTGTCTTAGAGATGATAGGTCAGTGGGTAAATAGGCTTGCCCCACAAGCCTGACAACCTGAGTCTGATCCCTGGGACTCATATGAAGGATGAAGGAGAAAAATAAATAAATCTACAGATGTGGTCTTCTGACCTTCACATGCATGTACTCATCATTCATGTGCATACGTTAATAATAGATAGTTAAATGCTAGGTTCAATTTACTCCAGCCCTTCCCCCATCTGCTCTATCACTCATTTTGATACTCTTACGTTTTTCTCAACCTGTGTCTCATTTACCACATGAGACATAGGTTTCTTTTCTGTCTGTGGCTTGGTTGAATTATTGCACACTCATGCGCCCCTTCTTTCACAGAGGCTGGAGGATTGCTGGTGGAATTTTGGTCCTTATTGTCTGCTCCATCAACATGTACTTTGTAGTGGTTTATGTCCAGGACCTAGGGCACTTGGCACTGTATGTGGTGGCTGCGGTGATCAGCGTGGCTTACCTGAGCTTTGTGTTCTACCTGGTGAGTCCATTGGAAGGGAGCGGGGCAGTGGTATTGGCTGCATAGGTGGGACTTGCTGCCTTTTAGAGACCAATGATCCTCCAGGCAGTCTACTGAGGCAACTCATGTGGCATTGTCAAATCAGCTGTTTCTGAAATTCTATTTCTTTTCTGTTGTTTTTGGTATTGGAGATTAAACGCAAGGCTGTGCCATGACAAGCAGCATCCTAATGTTGCACTCTCTTCTCAAAAAGATGTTTATATTTTGAATCATCCAGTTTATTTAAGTTTTTTTTGAGGAGGGGGTGTTTCTTGAGACAGAGTTTCTCTGTGTAACAGCCCTGGCTCCCCTAGACCTCACTTTGTAGACCAGGCTGACCTCAAACTAATAATAATTTTCAATTATTTCATCCCATATAAAACTTTAAATTATAGAGATCTGCCTACCTCTGCCTCCCAAGTGCTGGGATTAAAGGTGTATGCCACCATGCCTGGCTTATTTTAGTCTTAATACCTAGTATTTTTCTATTTCCGTTGATTTTATAAGGATCCAATATTTAATTCCTAAGAAGAATGTATGTATGGTATGTTTTTTTTTTAATATTTATTTATTTGTTATGTATACAATATTCTGTCTGTGTGTATGCCTGCAGGCCAGAAGAGGGCACCAGACCCCATTACAGATGGTTGTGAGCCACCATGTGGTTGCTGGGAATTGAACTCAGGACCTTTGAAAGAGCAGGCAATGCTCTTAACCTCTGAGCCATTTCTCCAGCCCTGTATGGTATGTTTGAGAAACGAAATGTCTCAGTGGTTGCACAGCAAGCATAAGGACCTGAGTTCAAATCTTCAGGACCCATGGGCATGGGGTTGTGTGAGCCTGTATCCCCAGCACTGGAGGAAGGGAGGCAGCAATAGGAGAGTCATCAAGGCCTGCCAGCCTAGTTACAGATTCAGCAAGAGACCTTGTCACACAGGAATAACATGGTGACTTCCAATGGCCTCTGCAAGTGCACACATACAGAGGGCAAATGTAGATGTATTCTCTGGTCCCCAATCTTCCTCACTGCTTTTTTTTGTTTGTTTGATTTTTTTTTTCAAGACAGGTTTCTCTGTAGCTTTGGAGCCTGTCCTGGAACTCACTCTGTAGACCAGGCTGGACTCGAACTCACAGAGACCTGTCTGCCTCTACCTCCCGAGTGCTGGGATTATAGGCATGCGCCACCACTGCCCAGCTTCTCACTACTTTTACTAGTGAAAAATCCATAGCAATAAGAACAGATGGGATTATCTGTTTAACACAGAGTTCATACTGAGGTTGGGGATAAGAAGCAGCAGTGTTGAAGATGGAGGCCAGAGCCCTGCTGTTCTCTCTCATGCATTTCACTCCATGCGTGCCATGTCTTCCACGGGTTAGAATCTCTTCGAGAAAAACTTCGGTGCATAGTTTAATATGTGCCCTGAGTCAGTGAATCTTTTCCCTTTACAATAAACCTTGGGCATCCAAGGTTATACTCACCATAGGACTTTGGAAACCAGATAACTGCCTGTGTCCTTGGCAGGAATTGTTTTAAAATTCTCTTAGAAGCCCGACCAGCTGTACCTTCATGCAAATTGAGTATGTTGACTCAGTACCCTAAGACTTGTGAGATTATCTGAGCCCCAAATTTGGAGGTAGGGCAGATTTTGCATCTTGATTACTGCTGCTTCGCTCAAAACCAGGAGCTTTACAGAGGAGCTGGCTCACTGCTAGTCTGTAGCTGGTCTCCGTGTCCTTTGGAAATCCATGAGAAATGGCTACTGGAAAGTTCCGCTGAGCGAAACTAGTCATAAACGCAAAGCCTAGGAACAGAGAGCACAGTTTTGGAAAGCCTTGGAGGGAAACTCCAGGATGTTTTAAAGCAGAAGAGGGGCTGAGAGCCTGACTTAGAGCCCTTGGTGGAAAGAAATGGATGAAGCTGGATGTTTGGGGCAGGAAGCAGGTGTGTCCCTGCAGAACATGGATGTGCTATCTTGGTGGACGAGTGACAATCGTGTTTTCTCTTCCAGGGTTGGCAATGTTTGATTGCCTTGGGCCTGTCTTTCCTGGACTGTGGTCACACGGTAAGCATCTCTAAGGTCCTGCTGAGTGAAGACACCAACGGTGGCGGCAATACTAAGTAAACACTGGGTCAGTCTGTCTGTCTGTGCAGGGAGCCATCAGAGCCAGTGTGTTTCTATGGTTCACTGTGTGAACATAGCCACAAGTATGTGCTGTTGCACAGACTTCATTTAGAACTCAACAAGTAGTTGGGAAACACTTTGTTTTGTGTGTGTCGAGGTCTTTGTTTTGTTTTTGTGAAATAGGATCTTGCTCTGGAACACTAGGTAGCCTAAACTCACTGGCTGCCCTCAAACTTACGACCATCCTGTCTCATACTCCTGAGCACTAAGAATATGGGCATGCATTACCGTGCCTGGCTTTTCCCATGTGTGCTTACAAGATGATTATTTTTGAGGGGGTGGGTCTCACCCTGTAGCATTGACAGCCCCTAGAGAAAGTGACCCTTGAGCTGTTTTAAACACTAAGTCCCTAAGTAGCTGTCCAAGGGCGAATAGCATTTTATGTTCTTAAAACTTTATGAGTTAGGGATATAGTAAACTGCAATTATGTTTTCATTGGTGAATTAAGGCTGTAGTAGCTCCAGGCACACCAATTTTTATCAAAAGATAATGGATATTGAAGGCTGAAAAATACTTTTATGCTCCCTTTCAAATTATTTTTATTATGAAAAACCCAACTAGAGTAATATGCTATCCATTTGAACTACAAAATTAGAGACAACTACCGTCTCTGAGTTCAGGATTTGTTTACTTGTTTGTTTGATTGCTTTCCGAGACAGGGTTTCTCTGTGTAGCCCTGGCGTCCTGGAACTAGTTCTGTAGACCAGGCTGGTCTCAAACTCAGAGATCCACCTGCCTCTGCCTCCTGAGTGCACCACCACCGCCCCTCTACGTTCATGATTTTCTATTTCTACTTTTAATTTCTCAGTGGAAGAAGGGTAGGAAGCGTAAAAGATGAGCATGGACAGATGGTCCAGCTGCAGGGCTTGCTCATCACCCACAGAAGCTGTCCTTAGCGTGTAAGCTTAGTGGGCCTTCATCTTTGGCTCCGAGGTTAGTAGTGTTCATCATGTTACTCCCAAGGGTTCCTGGCAGTATCTAGTCACAGAGCCTTTGCCTTCCGCCCCTAAGAGAGTGGTGATAACAGGAGACTGTAGCGCTCGGGACCTGGCATTCTCGTGGGCCTGGACTCGGAGTGGGTCAGAGAGCTAACTGCGCTATTCCCGGAAGTCACCCTTCACCAGATCGTGTCTCTGACCCACCACTGTTTCATTTCCAACATGACTCGGGACCTAAGCTTTGCAAAGTCAGTAGGTGTCCTGTCACTGTGCTGGTGAAGTTCCCTCCCTGCACAACGGACTAATGCGTCAGGAGAGAAAACCTGTTGAGACCAGAAGGCGAAGCTCTGGAGTCTTCAGCTTGCGACTGCTGCTGTCACCTCAGCCACTTCTGACATGTTGTGTGGGCGCCCGAGACCTATTCTGTCAAACCCTGTCTGTTTGGAAAATCTGAATAAGCAAGTCGTGGGTAGTCATTTCTTGATGGCAGCAGGAATGAGAGTGGCCTTGAAGGACGTCCTTGACTTTGAAGCTTTCCTTCTAGCAAGCTGCCTGCAGATGATCTAGTCCAGGCTCGCCTGTGCCGGGTGGCATTATTACTGGCACTACTAACAGTGGTGCTCAACCTCTGGGTTGAGACCCCTTTGGCAAATCTCTATCTCCCAAAAAAACATTTTAATTATGATTCATAACAGTAGTAAAATTACAGTTATGAAGTAGCAATGAAATAATTTTATGGTTGGGGTCACCACAGCATGAGGACCTGTATTAAAAGATTACAGCATCAGAAAGGGTGAGAACCACTGTCCTACAGGGTCCTTCTCATACCTGCCCCTTCTATCACCATTGTTCCCAAAACTTATCCAAACGGTGCCTGAAGATGCTGGAGACTGACCGTTGAACCTTGTCTTGCTGTAGTATGTGAAGGCCATATTGATGGCAGCAGAGTTCCTTACAGAGCTGCTGTAGTAACGATTATACTGTTCCTCAGGGCAGGGTGTCTCCAGAGTCACAAACACAGATAGTCCAGCCCACAGCTGCTAGGGGTGGACCCAGGGGCCTTGTCCTTGCTAGGCAAGGCCTCTGCTAGGATCTTGCTTCCCTGCCCTAGAATTCGTCTATGTTATATTTGTTTACAACGGTAGAGGTTTTCACTGTAGTTAGGTGTTCTTTTCTATGCAATGTTTTACAGTGTCATTTGATGGTCACTGGGAATGTGTACTCAGTACCCTGTACAGAGAACAGTGTGTGAAAGTTTCTAGTCCTCCATGCCAGTGTTGTTCTGGCCGTGTATTTGTGAGCCATCTTTGTACTTTCTCTAAGCTGGTACTTGTTCTCATGTGACATGAAATAATTGTACGATTCAATGCTCTGGGAGTTGACAGGCTGGGGTGTAGCTACAGCGTGGCTTGTGAGATCTTGACAGGGCCGTAGGAAGTGGCTACTACGAGCTTTTAGTGAACCTTAACAGCTTGTAAACTTGATTTGTAATTAAAAAAAAAACCAAAAAAACAAAAGAAAAGAAAAATTCTCCTTTTTCCTGTTTGCTTTCCTGGCTAATTTTGTGACCTTGAAAACACTTTATTTATAGGGCCTCAGCAGCTTTGATGGAGAAGCACATACATGTCAGTTGCTAAGAGTGACACTAAGCCCCCGCAGCGCCAGTGCTCGCCTCCTAACAGACGAGTCCCCAGAAGGCTGGGTTAGTCATGGACACCAAGATTCTAATTTCATTTTGGGGCCGAGAGATGGCTTCTAAAGTGTAGATGCCACCAAACTTCACAACTGGAGTTAGATGCCCGGGACTCACATGTTGGAGGACGAGAACAGGCTCTTTTTGTTTGTTTGTTTGTTTGTTTTTCGAGACAGGGTTTCTCTGTAGCTTTGGAGCCTGTCCTGGAACTAGCTCTGTAGACCAGGCTGGTCTCGAACTCACAGAGATCCGCCTGCCTCTGCCTCCCGAGTGCTGGGATTAAAGGTGTGCGCCACCACCGCCCTCCGAGAACCAACTCTTGAAAGTGGTCCCTGATCTCCACATGTACTCTGGTCCCTGACCTCCACATGTGCTCCATGGCACTTCCATAGTTGTCCCCATATACATACACAACAAATAAATACCAAATTAAAATTTTTTTTCTGATGAAATGAAAATCAATTTCAATTTATCACTCAGTTAAATACTCTTGTTGGGGTTAAGGCCATAACTTTACCATTCTGCAGGATGGCATTTTTCCTGCCTTTCTCTGAATTGAAGGTCTGCCTGTCTGTAGTCCTGTCTCTCCATCCAGGAAGGGTCTTACAATATGTATTTGCTGCCAAAAAGTAGTAAAGATTGAACGAGAGAAACCTAGCTTAAACCCAGGTGCACATTTTGGCAGACCTGATATAAATGCTGATCCTGGCACCATTGCCCTTTATAAGCAGAGGTAAAACTCGGGTGTGAGGAGCTAGCAGCATTGTCACCAGGCGCGTGGTGGGGAGGATGTCCTTACCTGACCATCCCAAGACAGCAGGCAAGCTTCAGTTCCTCTTGTGGCAGCGTCCCGGCCTTGCTTCAGGAGCTGCCTGTCTGAGATGGTTATCGGAGCTGGCTGTGTTCACCAAACTTCCATCAACTTTGATTTCATTTCAGAGCTAATCTAGAATAAAAGCAATTTCTAGAACCTCTTGTTAGCCTTCCCTATTACCTTACATGTGTTTACAAACGGTGGACTACAGAGGTGACCTGATGGTTAAAGCAGGTGCTGCACCTCTAGAGGACCCAAGATCAGTCCCAGCACCTATGGCAGGTGATTGACAGCCTCAGCTGCAGCTTCAGGGGACCCAGTGCTCTCTTCTGACCTTTGTAGCTACCTGTAGGGGTCTCTCTCTCTCTCTCTCTCTCTCTCTCTCTCTCTCTCTCTCTCTCATTTCAAGACACTCACCTTCTATACTGAGGCAGCCTACAAGCCAGGGCACTGGTGTTCGTGCAGAAGCACCCTATGTAATACACGTACCCTTCTGTATGAGGCTGTAGTGAGACTCCAGACATTTCTCCAGTGTCACCAGGAACACCAAGACAGCCAAACAGATGTTGTGACGCGCGCTTGTAATTCCAACACTTGAGAGGCCAGCTCTCAGAGTGACCTCCATAGAGAAAGCTGTGTCAGCACTCATTAGTGGTTTGGATGTTTGCGCCAGGCTTAGAGAACAGACAGGGTCCTTATGGCAGTAGCTAAGAACCAATAATAGATACACCTGTCTGCACCCCAGGCTATTGTAACCCATTTCTCAATGCCTCGGAACTAGACAACAGAATTCTCCAGTTAAATTACCTAAGTGATGATACTCTGAAGTCATGGAGTGACGGCGTCCACCGTCTTTGTTCACTTGGGAGAGGTTTCCATGGTGAGTCTGACCCTAGTCATTAATTCCCAAGCCTGGATGTCAGACCTGCAAGTGAAATGTCAGTGTCTTCCTAACACATTGGCTGTAACCCATTCTGTCTATGTCGGCTTCTCTTGCGAGGTGACATGGGACAGTGTGTGACGTGCTCAAAATAAACTTTGTGAAGACTTGATGCGGCATCTTATCAGTGCGCTTGGCATCTCGAGATATAGCGTATTTCCATTTTACACACAGAAGATAAGTCCAGAAGATACACACAGAGCTTGAATGTGGTGCACGACTGTAATCCTAACCTCATGAGGCAGGAGGATCACTGCAAATTCCAGTACAGTCATGGCTGGAGAATGAGACCCAGCCTCCAACTAAACAAAGGGTTGGGGGTTAGCTCAGTGGTATAGCACTTGCCTCAGTTCTGGAAATAAAATAAAACTCAAATGGATACTTGGAAGGGCTAAAACTGGGCCTTGTCCCCAGCTCTCCAGTGCCTTTTCTACTGTATTATATGGGTGTCGTTCATTCATTCAGATTTCTAGCCTACACTTGGCGTTCATACATAGGCTCTTGGTGCCAAGGGTGACCAATATTTCTAATGCCCAAAGGACTAGAATGAAAGTCAGTCAGTGTCCCAAAGTGCATCACTGAACAGCTAAAGGAAGTACAGTTTCTTTGCCGGGTGCACAGAGTACAGCTTTAGTCCCAGTACTCAGTGTGGGGGGTAGCAAACTAGGCAAATCTCTGAGCTCAAGACCAGTTTCCCTTATATAGGAAGTTCTGGGCTAGTAAGGGTTACTTAGTAAGAGCCTTTTGGTTTTTTTGTTTGTTTGTTTTGGTTTTTAGAGACTGTTTCTCTGTGTAACAGCCCTAACTGTCCTGGAACTCACTCTGTAGATCAGGATGGCCTCACAGAGACCCGCCTGCCTCTGCCTCCCGAATGCTGGGATTACAGGTGTGGACCACCATGCCCGGCTGGAAATACATTTTTAAGACAGTTGAGGGTGGGGCATGTTTATAAGCTAGTATAATCCCAGGACCTGGGAGGTGGGGGCTGCTATCCAGTCACGATCATCCTCAGCTCCAGAGTGTTTTTGAAGCCAGCTTGAACTGCATGAATCCTGCTTTAAAAACTCAGAGAGTGCACGACATGAAGACAGCTGAGATTCCTGATTCAATATGACAAACACTGGGGACCCATAGGTTGCCCCTTTCTCAGTACACTTTTGTTCTTTTAATTGGGAGGGTTTTCTCAAGTGTCACATGATAATAGGGCCGGAATTACAGGGCCCAGAGATTAGATCATTTGAAGTCTGATTTCCAGTACACAGTGCTGAGACAGAGGCACTCTGTGTTTGGTCATATTATCCTACGGTTGAGTCCTGAGGCTCTGTCCCAAGGTGCACTTGGCACTGTCTCCATCCTTACTCTTTCAGCTCCGGTGTGAAATATTAGGAACTACTCCTGCAGCTACAAAACGCATACACGAGAAACTTCCCCTTTCCACATGTGTGTCCCTGACACTCTGGGCTCCCTTCCTGTAAAGTACCCCCTCTGCCCCTGGCTGCCTGACTGCCGTGTGGACATGGATGACCTCCACACTGGCTTTGATCTTCCATCTCCTGCTCGGGGCGGCTTGTCTGCCCTAGAGTTTGTCTTTGTACCTTAATGGAATTGTTCTTCATGGGCTGGAGACATGGTTCAGTGATCAAGAACACCTGCTCATGCAAAGGAACCAGTCTGGGGGTCTAATGCCTTCTGACCTCCATGCATACCAGACACGCATGCACACTACATGTGTGAAGGCAAGACACACTGATGCACATAAAATAAAAGTCTAAAATTAAAATTGTCCTTGAATTTAAACAACCTCATATACACATAAGCCATTTTCTTCTTTTAAATTTTATTTTGTGTGCCTTGGTGTTTTGCCTGCATGTATGTCTGTCTGTGTGAGGGTGTTGCTTCCCCTGGAACTTACAGACAGTGTGAGTTGCCATGTGGATGGTGGGAATTGAACCTAGATTCTCTGGAAGAGCAGACAGTGAGTGCTCTTAACTCCTGAGCCATCTCTCCAGCCCCCCACTTTCTATTCTGAAATAAAACACAAAAGTACTGAGAAAAGGGACTAAACTGAGTTTACCATGTGACTCCCTGAAAGTCACACTAATTCTCTCCCGTGTTTTTGTCCTCAGTGTCACCTGGGATTGACAGCTCAGCCTGAACTCTACCTGCTGAACACCGTGGACGCTGACTTACTTGTATCCAGATGACAATCAGCCTGAGAGACTTTAAGAACGCTGCTTTTTCCCAGCCCTTTTGTGCCAAGTGTCTGTTAGCAAATCTCTGTTAGTTCAGAGGTGAGTTTGTTCAGATGTTTTGAACAAAGGCAGAGATTTCCTCGTGAGATCCGGGGTAAAGGCCAAGAACTGTGCCTGGGTCCGAGCCCCGCTGGCCTCCAGCAGTCAGACAGTAAGGAGTGGTAAGCAGTGGGCCTGGGCAGCCGTGCTCCCCACCGCGCTCCCCACAGGCTAGCGCCTGCACTTCTGGGAAATAAAAATGTATGAACATGTATTTATGTAAACCCGAACATGCCAGTTTGGGTAAGATTTTAAGGTTATAAAAATTGATAGATTTTTTTTTTAAAAAAATGTTAAGGTAAATTAGGTATTTGTTTTTATCTGGATCGTAAGTAAGAAAGGGAATGAATCTTTTTACGTTGGACTTTCTACATTAACGATCTTTTAAAGTGCTGTTTTACTGCGCTGGTGGTTTCAGTTCATTGTCATGCATCAGGAGTGCATGTAGCAGCAGAAGCTGCTAATACTTGCGTATCACTTAAAGTGTGTGTGTGCGAGCGTGAATGTATGTGTGTGTGCACTCACACGTGTATGTCCAACTGTGTGCTCTGTGTGTGCATGTGTGTGCACTCATGTGCCTGTATGTCTTCATCCTCATGCAGATCACAGGCTGATATCAGGCGTTTCTTTTTTTTTTTTTTTGGTTTTTCGAGACAGGGTTTCTCTGTGGCTTTGGAGCCTGTCCTGGAACTAGCTCTTGTAGACCAGGCTGGTCTCGAACTCACAGAGATCTGCCTGCCTCTGCCTCCCGAGTGCTGGGATTAAAGGCGTGCGCCACCAGCCACCACCACCCGGCTACTGTCTGGCGTTTCTCTCTACCCTACTTTGTGAGTCGCGAACTCACAAAGCTCACTGCTTGGCTACTCTGCCTGGCCAGTGAGTTTGGGTATCCTCCTGCCCCTGTTCCCCAACACTGGGGTTACAGATTCGCTACACTTGGAATTTATGCAGTGCT